GGCAGTTCATGGATTCAGCTGTTAATATTATGGACAAAACGTTTGTTGATCGCTAGCAACGTTCTTGAAATACACGCAGTAGTTGCCTGCCATCTGTCATACAGATTACTCATGGTACTCTCGGGCAGTAGACCTTGAAGACTTGTTTCTTTTATATATACATAATCTGAATGTGTTCCATCTTTTAGTGTCGAAATAGTTACAAAGACAATCAAGAATTCTGTCCATTGAAGAGTTCAATCAGATTCGTTGTTTTCTTTTTATTTAATTAAAATTTTGTCAATTAAGGTGGTGTTAAGATCCTTCAATTCGATCGATATTCATGTTTCTTCTTGCCGTAATTCTTGAAATTGCCGGTCGGTCGATTATACTGGCGTCTGGTATGCATTCTGTTTTGTTTGGGGAGAACAGTGATCCATATGTTAGGTACAAAACCTGAATTTCAATACAACCATGCAGAGTAGTTAGTTCACTAGTCTTGTTTGTATTGTGAATATATGTGATTCTTATCGTTCCGAAAGAAAAAAATACCATGCAGGAGGCAACTTGTCAATATTGTTTAATTTAATCACTCGAGTTACAATTTTCTTAATACTAGTATTGTATTTGCACAAATATAAATAAAGTGTTATAAGTTATTATGCATATAATACTAAAATTATAAGTTAGATAATAGTATTATATTTTAAACAGAGAGTATTATGAGTTACATTTATGCATATAATGTTAAATTATAAGTTAGATAATGGTATTATGTTTTAAAATTTGATCATTGGTTAAAAGTGTTGTAATATTTTAATTATAAATCACATCTCCATGATAAGGTTTGAGGCAGATATAAGCACCAAAGTGCTGTATATTTGAAAAATAAGACATTTAAATATTTTCTTAAGATTCCTAGATGAGAAAATTTCCTAAATAACATATTTGTTATTAAGAATTAATGTCATTTTCTTTTTAAAATTCTGAATAACATTTTTATTTTTTATCCATTTTTTGTATGTAATATTAAATTTACCAAATTTTTTATTCGACACTCATATTGTATGTATAAATAAAAATAATTATTTCTAATGTAGTTCTTTCTCTTCGTCACGTCCCTGCATCTACATCTTGGAGTCCAACCTTTAAGGCCGAACCCCCAACTTATATAAAAAGACCCTAAATGGGCTGCATCTACATCTTGGAGTTCATCCTTCAGGTTTATTAGTGAATATTGCATATATCAAGTTAACTTAAATTTATAATTTAATAATAATATGAAATAAGGAATTAGTATCAACTTATTCATACAATAAAATATAAATGTACATGTAATAAATTATATTTATGTAAAATAATCTAAAATGGTAATTAACATGTCATTTGTTTACCATATATATTATTAAACTATAAAGAATTAGTATATTTATAATATATATTGATATAAATTATGAGAAATCAAAATTGCAGATTTCTATTTAAACTCCTAAACAAGGGACGGTCTTGAACGGGGCAGCTAGTGCAGAAGGCCGCTTTCTCCTGAGTTGATATGAAGTGATCATACCTGGACGAGTCATTTGTCGAATTGTCATGTAATTAGAAAGATAAATAAAATATTTATAATATATATTGTTATAAATTATGGTGACAAACATACAGATCATCTTTCGAACTATCCATGTAAATTATAACATGAAAAAAAAATTAAAACATTTGTTATAAATTATAACGATAAATCAACGAGTCATCTGTCGAACAACGATTTAAGTTATTAGTTTAGAAAAAATATATGTATAATAAATATTGTTAAATTATAATGATAAATCAACTGGTATTGAATTGTCCTGCAAATTATTAGATTAAAAAGAAAATACAAATATTTATATTATACTATTACTTAAATAAGCTAATTTTGATGTCATTAAAAATTAGTAATATTTACAACTATAAAATATATACACCGCATAATTATTCAACTTTACTATAATTTATTTAGGAAGCAAAACGATATATTTTCATAGTGTATGAATAGAGTGAAGAAATACACATATAAATTCTACATAATAAACTATTATAAGTTATAAAAATTAAAGAAAAGATAAAATTTAGTATTAATATTAATAACTATTTTTATATTAATAAATATCCGTTCACTGATTTAATTTATATAATTATAATTATTGCTCGTGTATCGGACCAACTGTTTGATATAATTTGACACCATGTTGTAGTTTTATTTTTTACATTTATGTTAGGCAAAATAGCTCGTTATATCACGACCTTTCACTAAATTGCTAAAACATCACGACTTTTGGACCTTGGCGGAGAATATCACGACCTTTGATTTCTTTGCAAAACGATACACCAAAGTCAGAAATCGACCATCGGTGCTTACGTATCCGACCAAACTTTTTTACCTGGAATTAAAAAACATGACGTGGATATGATTGTCCCACGTGTACAATGACATGGAAAATGAGTATAAATATCCCTAAATCAGATTTTTGGAATTCAAAACCCTAATCACAGGGACATCAACGATTTGGGGGAGATGATAGCAAAAAGCAAGAATCTGTCGACCAGGACATGAAATTCAACCTCATACAAATTGTGTGAATCATTTTCAAGTGGGTAAGTGGAGGCGTATCAGGTGGTGAGAGTTCAGACAAGTCTCTGATTAGGAAAATGTAGTGCGCGGGCCGATCGATGGTTCCAGCGGTGGCATAGAGCGAGAAGAAGGTTCCTGAGCTGGATCCGAGCTCTTGATCATTATCGTCCACCATTGAGGTGAGAAATTGGGAATCGTCGCCGATGAAGTCCTGACGATCGAAGTCCCGCGTCACGGCGGCGCGTGAGCTGCAATCAACGAGGTGGTTGCTAGTCGGGAGAAGGTGGACACAGAGTAGAGGAGGGAGATGAGGAGAGGGAGATTGTTTTCATCGTCGCCATTGGCAGGGAGCTTCATTGGTTTTCTGAAAGTTTTCAATTTTTTGTTATCTGGTTTTCAATGCTTATGAATTATGACTGGTTTGCTATGGGCTTCAAAAATTTGGGCCAGAACGAGTTGGTAGAGTCGATATGGAGCTTCAATTGCAAATGATTGTGGGATAATGTGTTCATTTGAGGTGCAATTTTGGGAAATTAGGATTATGGTTCATGGAATTAAGAATTTCGAAAATTAGTAAATTCTCAAAATCTAATTTGAGTTATTTATACTCATTTTTCATGTCATTGTACACGTGGACAATCATATCCAGGTTATATTTTTTTATTCCAAGTAATAAAATTTGATCAGACATGTAAACACCGATGACCGATTTATGACTTTGGTGTATCGTTTTACAAAGAAATCAAGTCATGATATTTTCCACCAAAATCCAAAAATTATGATATTTTAACAATTTAGTAAAAAGTGATATAACGAAGCTATTTTGCCTTTATGTTACGTCAAAAGTAGCATAATTTTCGGGCAGGTAGAGTCGCAAAGCTTCCCTCTCGTTTTGTTCGTTAACATAAATTTCCCAAGCTAAATAATTCTTGAAAATGTCCATACCTAAAACCCTAAATTCCATTTGAGCATCAACATTGCGAACAAGACAAGACCAGCCACATGGATCCCAGCGTCTGGGATATTATGTTGCTTCATTTACAAAACGAAGGAATTGAAGTGCCTCCGCATTTCTTTGAAGAAAGCGACGACGAGGATTACCTAGAAGAAGAACAAGATGGTGATGATGATGATGACGACGACGACGATGATGACGACGACGACGACGATGATGAAGACGGTGATGAAGAAGAAGAAGAAGAAGAAGAAGAAGAAGAAGAGGAACAAGATAATAATGGTGACGGTATCAATTTCGCAAGGGGGATGACGTCGTCCGAAGAAGTTGTGATTATTGACGGTGGGGTTCCTGAGAATGGCGATGATGCCACGGCGGAGGGTGGGCGTGAAAGAGGCAGCAAGAAGGGAAGGTTCAGTAGTGATGGTACAGGGGGTGGAACGGCGTCGTTGAAGGGCGAGGACGGCGGAGAATTCGGAGAGTTCAGTGGAGGTGAAGTGGATGGACTATATTGCCCTATCTGCTTTGAGGCTTGGTCCTCTGGCGGTGATCACCATATGTGGTAAGCACTCTTTTTCTTTTCCCCTTTTTTCCTAATTTGAATTTGTTATGAAGGTATTTTGTTAATCCAGTCTGATTTACTGTCTTACCTTTTTTGGAAAATTCAGTTGTTTGCCTTGTGGGCACATATATGGTTTGTCTTGTATCCGGAAATGGTTGGCTCGTCGAGGCTCAAGCAAGGTCCTTTTAGTTATTGGAGATGCAATTCATGTGAATTATTGTCAGTTTTCATAGTAATGCCGGTAATCTTTTATTTGTTGTTGATATCTTTTATTTTAGTGTCCACAATGTAAAAAGAACTGTCGGATGAAAGACATTCGGCTACTTTATGCTTCACGAATTGTTGCCATCGATGGAGAGCTTCAGAAGGTGAATTTTTTGTTATGCTCAGATTATGCACAACTCCTGAAGTGCCTTTTGTTTTGGTATAATTGAAATGCAACTCGCCTTATCTCTTTTACCTCTCTACAGACAGTACAATCACTTGAAGCTAAATGCGCATCTCTTGAAAAACAGGTAAGAACAATTCTGGATCTTAGAAATTTTTGTTTCCTGATATTTTTGGCTTTTTGTGAAACTTATTTATCATTTTGTGGATAAATTCATAATCAAAATTAATGCATCATTTATTCTTTTGCAACTTGACCTCCACCACCACCCCAGTTAGCACGCATGTTTCATCATGTGAACAATGAATGTTTGAAGTAGAGATCCGGTCTATTTTTGCTGCTGGTTTGTTCGTGAACATTTCTTTCTGATACCCTTGATTTCTATTTTTAACAATTTAGTCTAGCATGTAAAAGAAATATGCTTTACTATCAATTTTTTTTTGGATTTACCTCATTTTTCTCATAAAAGTGGGTAGTAAGATATGTAATTTAGTCCTTTGAATGGCTTGACAAGGTAAAAATTTAAATGAATATAAATTTTGTAGTCTGATATGCATATTTCTTTTTATTTGTTAAAGAAATTTTGCGCTCATTGTTCTGTGAATATTTTTACTAACCATATCATAGTCTGTAGAGACCTGTTTCTATTGGTAGCCAATTAACTTTGCCTTCATCGATGTCTCCCTTTGATATCTGGCATTGCTTTCTGGCTGTCCAGCAAAACTGAGTGTTCGGATCAGATAACTTTGTAAATGGGAATTTTTTTATCATATAAGAGTTCATTATTACACAATTCACTTCCTTAGTGATCATATTTTCATGGCAGAGTCTTGATATATTCTGGGGATGAAAGTTTGTCGAATTTATTAGTTGTATTCGTCACTGACTTCTTTACAATCATTAGGGATACAGTTTCTTAGCTTTTGACTGCGATTCTCATTTGACAATGTGGCTGTTTAGGAAGTGATCCTAAAATGTAATTATTTTACGGCCAGTATAGCATCTTGGTCTTGTATCTTCATTGTTTGTGACAAAGTTAACAAGACCTATTATTCTTAATATTATTATTTTCTGAAGTTTCTGTGTTTTAAACCTAATGATTGACTATGTTATGCTTGTGGCTCTTCGACATTGTTCAGGGCGCTGAATGGTCTAGTAAGGAATTGAAATGGAAGAAAAAAGAAAGTGATTTGCACAAGCAAGTTCAATATCTCGAAGCGGTATATGCATGATTTTGTCTTCACATTTCTTCATCTGATTTGGTTGTCAAGTTTTTGCTAATTATGAGTTATGAGCGTATGTCGCTGTTGTGGTGATTTGATGTCTCTTTATTGCCTTACTTCTATGTTGTGTTTATTAGTTTATGGTGCAATCGTTGCCTTCATAATTATATATTTTAATCATGAAAACTTTATCCGTAGCACTTATCGTTATTATTTTGATAGTTTTCCGTTTTTTGTGGAAGTTTTTACTCTCATTTACTTATTATTGTGAATATGAAAAATTGGTGCCCAAAAGATTATATTTCAATTTCTCGTGTTTTGTCCGTGCACCGGGAAATTATCACCTTGTTGGTAAAGTACCCGGTCAAATGATCACACATTTTTTCTGTAAATATTATTGTTCCATATGATTTTTTAATTACATATTAATGGTCCTTTTTATATATTATTATTAGCTTGCTTTAAGTTTAGGAAATTCCAAAACGAGCATTTACTGGGAATTGTCTGATCATGTTGCCTTGTTTTTTTTCTTCCTTCTCCTTTTGTATTACTTTGTTAATCTGTGAATCTTACTGTCATCTTGTTTTGCTGCTGCTTCATTACAAAATTCTGGCCTTACAGAGGATCCGAGTCTTGAAGGTTCTTCTAGAAAATGAGGAACGCAGGGCTTCAGCTTCAAGATCATCTGCATCTGGTTGGTATTCTCTTGGAAAATCACCATTGCTTAATCACATGGAATGTTTGCTAGTTGATTGAAGTTCTATCTGTTTCAAAATTTAATGCTCTTTTAATGTTTTCGTTTCTGTACATGTGTTACTCCAGGATCTGATGCTAGATGTTCGAATAAGTTCACATTGCAGGTATGTATTCTCATTTTTTTTTTTCCTTGTAATCTTAATGTAAGTGGACACGATGCATGTGATTAGGCTAAACCAACTACTTGAGCAGGTATTGGTATTTTGATAGTCTTGATCTTGAGTTATTTATTTTATAATTCAAAATATTTTGTTCTTCACGTGGGCTAGCTCAAAAGAAGCATATTTCCTTTGAATCCCCAAAAACATTCCCCATTGCACTTCATTGTATTTGTTGCAAGAAGGCACAGACACCTCTTGGTTATTAAGTTTCAATCTACAAAAGTCTATTGTGCTGGAGTTGCTCAATTCTTCTTTTAACCACTAACCTTGAATTAATGTCTGCGGATGCATACAATCATTTATGTAGAAGGACTTTCTGATAGAAGGGGCCCGATTCTTTGACGTTGATTCTTCCAGTGAGAGCTATATATTTGCTCGAAGGCTTCTAAGGATGGGGGGAATGCATGTGCTGACCAAAGTAAGGTTTCAGGGTCTTCGGACTACTTTTGGCTGCTGATAATAAAGTTTATACATCTTAATCTAACTAATATATTATGAAACATCTATAAATTTTGGCATCCATAATAATTTATTTGGAGAGTTTTAGGTGAACTTGTTATACAGTAATGAAAAGGAGGACATTCAGCTCCCCGAGAACACAAAAGTTGTCAAGGACTTGCGATTTTCTCCAGATGCTAGGCTTGTGTTGTTGGCATCTTTAGGGAAGAAACTATCAGTTATTAGGTTCTCTCTCTCTCTCTCTCTACACACACACATGCACACACACATGAAATAATATGAAATTGATGCAATTTAGCAGTCTTATTCACTGTGTCCCTCTTTTACTGGTGTTCCAGCGCAGAGAGCAACAACATTGTCCTTACTTACAATTTGCCGGTAATAGCTCTTACCATCTTATTCATCTTTTGTACTTCAGTTAATTACGTTGGTGTTATTTAGTGCGTTAAGCAAGTGCTTAGGTAAAATCCTTAGCTTATCTAAACATGTCGATGTTGACTTTTCAGGCTGCTGCATGGTCATGTGCATGGGATGTTTCAGATTCTCACTATGTATACACTGGCTTGCAGGTTTTGATTTTCGCCCATCCATCCAAGTTTCCTTTCCTTTTAGTTTCCACTTATATTCATATTTTAAAGCTATTATATGTGTGTGTGCAGAATGGCACGGTTTCGCAGTTTGACATGCGTCACACCGCGAGACATGTGGAATCCTTGAATGGACTGACGAGCAACCCAGTTCATTCTTTATATTCTCTTTCACCCTCTTCATCTCGAAGTTTTTTTACCGGAAATGTTCAAGCCAGAAATGTTCTAACTGCGTCTTCTCTCGGATTATGTCAATGGGATTTTGGTGTAAATCAAGAACGGTATGCTTTTATTGTTATTTTCTCCTCTATATCCCGCCCCACCAAAGCTATGTTTGGTAACCAAATAAGCTGGATTATAAGCTTCCTGTATTCAAATAAGCTTATTTGTTTAGCTTCTAAGCTTCCTGTATTCAAATAGTTTATTTGGTTAGCTTATAAGCTTCCTGTATTCAAATAAGCTTTGTTTGGTAAGACAAGCTTTTTTAAAAAACTCGCGCTTATCTCATAAGCTTCTTTAAATAGCTTTTCAAATAAGCTCGTTGAAAATTTTATTTCAGCTAGCTTATCAACGAATTGTATCAATCATATAATCATATAAGTTAGTTTTTCAGCTATAAGTCATAAGCTATAAGCTCGAAAACCACTTATAACCAATAAACTAGCTTATCTGTTAGTTTTACCAAACATAGCCCAAGTGATAAAATTATTATTATTATATTTTTTTTTTCATTAGAGATAACTCAATGATTACCTTCACTCATTGAATACTAAACTTCTTTTAAAATTGTTCAATGTTTTACTTTTTTTTTCTCCCCACCTGTAGGCCGTACGTAATTCCTGAATCAGACAAGCAAGGAGTTTGTATTTCTCTAGCTTACTGTAAAACTAGCAGCGACATTGTTGCTTCCTATCGTCCTAAAATCGAGACACCTGACGGCCTCACTATTTCTCAACCGACACTAACTGCAGCAGGGCAAGGGACACAGGGAAGCCATATCTATTATGGAAAATTTTTATCTGAGTACAAAAAATTAGGAGCGACTTGTGCTAACGTAAGTGATATTAGACTCCCGAAATCTGCCATTATTGATGGGGTGCACAATAATAACCGTGCGTTTGCATCGGGGGATGACTCGACTGGTGAACTCGTGCTGCATGAATTGCCTTCTTTAATGGCTTTTGGTCGGCTTAAACCTCGGAATAATCATATCCGTGATGTCAAGTACGTGCGTTGTTCGGACTCGGGAGTAATGAGCTGTTTGAGTGAGGATACTCTGCAGCTGTACACAGCAAAGCTATTGTGATTTGTGAACATGACAATTAACTGTATTTTTGGTGATGTTAATTATTTCTGATAGGAGTTCATGTTTTTCTTCGGTTTTTTGTTAAATAGTTGTAAAGGTTTTTGTGGTGATTTTTTGTAATTTGTAGTGGTGTTGAAATGATATTGTTTTGGTCTTTGTATTAGGGCAGTCTAACTGTTAGACAGGATGACTTATGTATTTTTCTTAAAAATAAATATGCAAGCTTATGTTATAAATTAGTATATTTTTATTAAATGATTTTCAGTTTGAAAGTAAGCATTTCAATCTAACAGTATAACTGTCTGATCGTTTTCTAATAGCATACTGAAAAAGTAAAAGGAAATTGCACGATGTCTCAGACTCAATTGCATTTGCAGAAAAGAAGTACAATAATTCGAAGTAGACCCTGTTTTTTCAGTATTATTGTTTTTGAACAATAATTTCGTTTAACTTTTCTGGATATTCATAAAAACCTAAAAAATTATTGACATATATATATATATCGAGTTGCAAAAGACAGTGGACTTAACAATTCATCCCAAACCTAACATGGGAACGATCTGAGATCACAATTCACATATGTGTCAAGTTCCATCATCACCTGCATCTAATTATCCAAAATAATATAGAAAAAATAAAAAAGAAATCAAACAAAATTTCTCATAATATTAATGTACACATATTCCCGTGACAAATATTTATTCGGAAAACAAGTAAACAACCAAATNNNAAAAGGCCATGGTCTGAGAAGAGAGAAGAAAAGAATGGAAAAGGCAGTTGCACCCAATTAATGAAGGTGAATTTGTCCACATTCACTAAGATGTAGCCATATTTGTTTGGCATTTAGATTGAGTGACAACACATTGCTTAAACCTGAAATATTGTATGCTTCAATTCTAGTATTATAAAATTTAATTAGCGAATGGCTCCAATTCTGATGTGTGATAGATAGCAGCTCCATATTTGTTTTCTACAATAATTTTTATGAGGGCGGCCTAATGATACTTTTTGAATAATCTCATATACAAATACAGAGACATGACATAATTTAATTTATATTGTATCTTACAATATCTTACTTATGCTTGAAAATTTACATATTTATTTAAAATATAAATGTTAACTGTTAAATTTGCCTAACATCACTCCTCTTATTTTTGCCATTGAGCTTGAGTGGCAAATAGCTCAATGCCAAATATTTTGTTTCTTAATATGAATTGGAATAGAGTATGGATAAATTGCTAATAAAAATTATTTTGTACATTGGATTAAACTAATTAAACCTAATGAATTTTGAATTTATTCTGTATGACATGCATTTGTCCAGCCTGGCAATAATTATTGCAAAGCATATTTGAATTATTGGATTGTAAAGCTTATTTAGTTGGGTTTCAAAAGCTGGTTTCATGACTAAAACCTGTATTCTCATTGTTGGCCTATTACTACAAATTGAGTCCCTGTTTATTTGCCTATTTTTTAGTTGTCTTATCAGTTTTATAGTAGTCCAAATCTTTTCCAAAGCATTGTCCCTGCAATAATTACAATATAGGGACCTACAAATTCATTTATTTTTTTTATTATTATCATCACCATCATCATCAAAATTCATAAGATGAATCCACCAATAGTGTTTTATTATATTGTACAAAAAAACACTCATATGTGTTAACATCACGATTCTAAAACAACGTACCGAATTTATCCTCTTATTTATTTTCTATGTATGATTTATTAAAGGGAATATTTATGTTAACATAACTTAATACAAATGTTAAAATGATAAAACTAAAATAAAAAATACCCGGTATTTTAGCTCGTTATTTTCGGTACAATCCGATAGTTTGGCGAAAACAATATTTTTAAATAGTTAATGTGCCGATCGGATCACCGAAAAATGTTTGTATATATTATTTATTTCTATTCATAATAAGGACTTATATACATGGACCATGTCAATCAATGTATGCTTTTATAAATAACTTTGTCTAACAGGCATTCAATAAACCGTGTGGTACGAACACAATCTATTTACTCCCACATATGGTTTTTACTTGTGCTGCTGGTTGTTATGGTAGCAACTCCTCAGTAGTTTAATATGTGTATTTCTAGTGATGGGACCAACATGAAGTAATTGTGCTAGAGAGTAAAAATTTTCGGATTTAACCCTTTCCATAAAATCGTGTTATAAACTCAACCAAGTGATGTATGTAGAGTGACGGAGCTAGGATTTTTACTCATGGGGGTCCAAATTTAAATGTTAAATAACGAGTTTGTAGTTTACGTAAAAATGCTCATTTCATATAAAGTTGTGTTTACTTATAAATATAGATATTAATGTGTACCATCAAGTTTTTAAGAACTTAGAATACGTATCACCTTCAAACATTTTTTTTTTTAAAAAAAAAAAGAGATTTCGTGTATTTATGATTTAAGTTTAAGATTTATAATTTATGAAAAAAAAATAAGTTTTTTTTGTTTAAAATTTGATTTACATTGAACTTTTGAAACACATTGCCTAGCAATTTTTTGTTGATGAGAGCTTATCAAATGACCATTTCATTAATAAAAAAATAAATAAAGTCGAAAATATGTGATTACATAACACAAAAATATAAAGTAAAAAATCAACATTCAAATACACAAGCGATCAACATTCAAAAATCTAACAATCCAATTAAATTCTAGGTTTTAAAAATCATTAAATTGATTTACAATTAAGAGGCCGAAAAGGTAAAATATTATACATTTTCAAAAAAAATTCTAAAAATGTAAAATATAAAGATTGTTAGTATATTTTTCAATAAATTAATAATATTATTACTTTAAATTAAAATAGCATTGAAATAAGTTTTAATTATTTATATATCCTACATTTTTTTAACATTTTTATTTATATTGTATAGTATTTTTTTATTTGTATATATATAATGATTTTTAAAAAAAATTGAGGAGGGCCCACGGGCCCCCCTAGACCTCATATAGGTCCGTCCCTGTGTATATATAGATTTGATTTAAGAATTGACTGCACTTAAACATAAATGAGAAATGTGATAGTTAATTAAATGATGTGAGTGAGTGAATAGTTAATTAAAGTTGAAATGATGCGTAAGTATAAATGATTGATATAATTATTTAATTATATTAAAAATATTGAGGATATATAATTGAGTTAAAAAAAGCGGTTAAGTCAAATATTTTGATATTGTTGGGATATCTTATATCCAAGCAAGCACTAATTGCTTAGACCGAACTTAAAATTGTCACCTCTATACAGATATACTTCTATACAATTGTATTAATTAAGGGTGTATTAATAATTGAAAACTCAAAAGAATACACCAGAATTGTTAAATAACACTACCGTAACCAAACCAAAGTTGCACCAACGCCTTGAAATTACACATATAACCGTACCACAAGAGACTTAAAGAGGGAAATTATGTACTAGAAAAGTAGAAATCAATCTGTCAAACAAAAATAATTTGCTTTATTGAGAATTGACAAAGTGAATATACTCTTTTGAGAGTAAAATACAATGCCAATAGGCAGCTCACTCTTCACTCATTATTCAACTCTTACAAAAATCTCTGGCCCTCACGTGTCTATGTATTTTAAGCAATATACATGGACAAACAAACACACACACAATACTCAAATGCACAATTTTCCAACTTTAATTTTTTGTCCCCAATTTTTTTTAGGAGGCTTGGATGCTCTATGACAACCCTTAAGGGATATATATGTTAAGCATCTCAAGAAACCGACACCATTTTTCTAAAACTAACCCCAAACCGAAATTCAAATACACATTATAAAATTCAAAACTTCGTAATAAAAAGTTGTCTCGTCATTTTTATTCTGTTTAACGCCAGCATTCTGGAGTTAAAGAATGGTCTCTTTTATAGTCCCGACAATAATCGTAGACCATGTAGTGGCTCTGCACCCACTGCATAGCCCTCGTTTGTTGGCCCGTGAGGCGGCCAGATCGTGAGGGAGAGGCAGAGACTGCTCGACACCGTGGAGAAGAATAGGCCGAGCAACCGCTTGCTTTGAAGTTAGTGAATTTGCCAACAAACGGTTGGTAACGATAATCGGCCTTATACTTACCGTCGTCAGTGGCCCACGACGAGGCGTCCCAAATCGACCCGTAAACCCACATTGGTCTCAAGGGAAATGTTGTCACACTTTTTCTTGGATACCTTCTTATGGGCACATCATCTACAAAGAATCTAAAAAATAATAACAAAAAAAATTAAAGGACCAAATGAATACAAATGGGAAAGGAACAAATTGATAATAGTATTTTTTTTCATCATTATGAATTGAAATGCAATGAATGACCCTTGATTTTGATTTTTTGTGTTGTTTTTTTGGTTATGTGTGTAGATAGCAATTATTTCATTATTGATTATGAAATATAATGAATGTGTTGTGATGTAATGGCAGAGAATAATTTCATATGAGATGTCTCATAGTCCTTACCAATATGGTTGTACCTAGCATTTATTATGAATGAAAGGTTTAGGTAGAATAGTGTCACACAAAAGAACCAAAAAAATAAAAATAAAAATAAAAACAGAGACATTATAAATTATATTTTTAAAAGGTGAAATTTTATATAATCAGGACTCTGCTAGGCTACTTAATGGTAAAACAATCATATTTTTTCAACAAATTTATATATTTTTATACCCAAATAACATATTTTTTTATTTATATTTCAAATAATTACATTTTTATAGTATAAATATATAGTTTTCTTTTTGTGAGAAAAATATAATTGTTTAATGGTTAGATATCCTAATAACAGCATTTAATTTGTCCGGACAACTTAATTATGTAATTAAGTCATACTTAATTATAGGAAAATAATAAAAAAAAAAATTGCATCTAAATTAATCTTACATAATCTCTCTGGGGTTCCACAAAATTGCATAGTGATGAAAATTCTGAGTTGGATCAAACCATAGGTGAAATTTCATCTCTCTCCCAATAATCCTACCATCCCCACTACCTCGTACATAAACATTTGTTTGAAGTGTGTATGGCTTTCCAAATGTTGTCCCAAGAAATTCGATGTCCACCTCATCGTGGTACCCTGGATGAGCCTCGTTGTTTGAAAGCTGACACCAAAAAATATAAATAAAATAAGTTAGTTTTAATACAAAATCATACCAAAATCAGTTCACTATGGTGAAAAAAAAAAATCAAAAAAAAAGAGAAAAATCTAGTTCTAATATTAGCCTAATTAGTAATTAGTAACTATACTAAATTGCTCTCATTTTGGTTTCTTATGAGTATTTGTAATTTTAGAAGATATACAATAATTGGACCTTGCAAGTGACCGACACTACGTGGATGTGGACTTCATTTGCATGGCATTTTCGTTATGTACAAAAAAATTAGTGCATAGAAAGCAAAATAAAATTGTCTATTATTAATTATTATTCAACACTTCCAACAAAAATCAAGAATTAAAATTAATTCGTACATAAAAAGCTGTAATAACTCCAGCAGTGTAACCGGGTTGAAGCTTAATTGAGGCACCGAAATACCCGGACCGAAACGGCTTCACCGACTTGAACCCGCTTCCTGTAACCAATAACCATAAAAATTCAAACTAGAAAAAAATTAAAATTAAAAGAATTCAAGAAATTGAAATTAAATGAGTACCAAACCTGAGTCTTTATCAAGCCAAATATTGATACCATTATTATCCACACTTTGATGATTTGCACCCCATAAGTTCCTATAGCCTTGATAGAAGCTCATAGATTTAAACCGAGAACTCGGGTAGTAACCCGGGCCAGGTGGCCACTGATCCGCATTGGATAACCGGGCCGCGAGGATAACAATAGCAAAAAGTAGTGTAACAAAGTATTGGTGAAAAGCCATCAAATTAAGTTTCAGTGTAGCAAGTAATTAATAAGAGAAATGAGTGATAAATAATTTGGAAANAAAAAAAAAAAAAAAAAGGTTTGAATGGCATATAAGCTATAAGCTATGGGCACATAAATGCAGGTTGAGACAAGAGATTGTTGGATGTAAATGTGTTCATGGGGAAGAAGTATGGCAGTACACTTTGGCTATAAATAATGGGATTGGTTTGGTGGGTCCAAAATCTATGGCTAGATTTTGAGTTACATCTCTTTTTCCCCATTTGGGTAATTAATTTTCTAGTGCAATTATCAAAGGGATGATTATGTTATTTATATTTACATATGCATGGTTTAATTTTTCACCATGTAACTGTAAACTCCTAATTAAGAATATAAATTCTGCTGTTAGATAGCTCAAATGAGTAGAAATTTATATTTTTTTTTTAATAAAAATGCATACAATGTTATAAAATGTTATATATTTATTTATGTTATTTTTTTAAAGTAGAATAAGTGAATATAAAAGTATACAATTTCGTTGAAAAAGTATGATTGTGTAGCTAACAGTAACATTACTATATCAATAAATATGATGACTGGTAACATTTTGTGAGTCACTAAATGTAGAAAGATATTGACGCTATCATACTTTCTCTCTGTTTATAAGAGAGAATTAACAATTCAAATTCCTCAAATATAGTATCAATATACTATCTTCCTCATGATATTTCATTTTTTTTTTCTCATATTTTCATTAGTTTTTTATATTTATACTTTGATTATTAATTCATCTAGTGTAATTATTTATTTATATTTTATACTTTGATTGTTCACTCAACTAGTGATTATTGCACATATATGCAAATGAAGATTATACAATATAGCTTAATATATATTGAAAAGTGCATAGAATCCCTCCTCCCAACCCCCATTTGACTCTTTGCTCAAGCATGACGTTTCTTCACAATCATTTTGTTTTTGCAGTTGGTGTGGAATAATAAATCACGACTTTAATTATATAGATTATCCTCATATAGTTAGATTAATATGGGCAGAAATTATGTAACTAAACGATCAATTGGGATTATACTTAAAAATAATTCTGTCGGCATTGCTCTATTGTGTTTTTGTTTAAAAATAAACTCAAATCATACTCAATTTATATTCAAAATATAATTAAACTTTAACTCAACTTCACTATTTTCAATATTATTAATATAATTAAATAATATAAATCAATCGATTTCGTATATCACATCAATTTAAATTCAATATTCATTCATTCACATAATTTTAATTAGCAATCTCTTCACATCACATATCTCCTACTTTTATATCAAATCAACTTTAATTATTTTATTTTACATATTATTTTAATATAAATTCATAATTTTACTAAGAACTAATTGTTTCACATATTTTAAAATTAACTCTCATTAACAAAAACAAATCCATTTATAATCAACATTTTTAGCCATTAGTATTTTTCCATACCATAAAAGGTGCACTATTTTGACCGACAACCGATTAATATACGAATTTGTGAAAGCATAAAAAAATCCATTAATCATATAGCGCCATAAAAGTCGGACTGTTTGAACTTATCACGAGCTTAACCGAATTAAAACAGTTATATGTTTTCAGAAAGTAAAAATTAAATTTTGTTATAATATAGATTTACATTTCGCACTGTATTAGGGTGCACAAATTAAAACGAATTTATATCAATTGTTATGTGTTTTCAGAAAGTAACTTTACATCACTTTCCTTGCTGAAATAAAAACATTTTGTCCTTTTTTTTCTTTAATCTCATCCTTTCAAGCTACGATTCTCGGATCACATATATTCCACTTTGTGTAATTCTTACCTCTCCTTTTCTGTTTCTATTTTTATTTAAATATAATATAATATACATTTATTTTCTTAGTATTATTATATTTTTGTTTTCTATATGTCCTATTAGAGTTACAGGGGCTGCAAGGACCAAAATTTGTGGGGTCTGAAAAATCAAGCATTTGAGTGGTGGTTTTGAATTTTCATAGCTTCTGAACTTTGAGCATTTTATTTAATTTTTAGTAGGGACAGAAGTATCTAGACTCATCCAGATATGAATTTGATTAATTAGTTTCCTGCTTATTTTAAGTAAAAAATAATTTATTTATTTATTTATATATTTATTTGTCTATGGTAGTACTGATAACAATGTGTTTTAGATGGTGATAACTTCCTTGTAAATATAGTCCATAAGCTTAATTATCAGCAATTTTATTTTTATTTTTTTAAAGTGCTTATTGATTGCCTTTAATATGAATTGATGGGCTCGCACAATTTGATTGACATCTATGTATGGATTTAGACTCTTTTGTTTATGTGATGATAATTATGTACGGTTGATAAGGATTTGTTAATGAACGTGGTCCATTTATATGCTTGGAGCTCTAATATCTTAATTGATTTTTTGATCAGCTGGTAATCATAGCATGCAATGAAAATAAAGAACGTGATTATTTTAGAGAAAAATGTATTTGAACTAAATAATTAAAAAAATCCTTCTAATATATATTATGCCATCTCAAAGAGATATTATATGGATAACTCTGGAGGTTAATCAATCGATTTAATCACAATTTTATCTTGTCAAATTTTTATAGTAGTCTCCGTAACTTTAAATTATATACAAATAAATGGAATCAAATTAATAATTAAGGGTGGTTCCGTCATATTGTAAGTCGATCAGTAAAGATTTTTCAAAATTCGACCATAAATGTAAGGAGACATGTGCACATCACGTGTTAGTTACCTGCCAGAGTGTCCTTAGATTGATCAATTATCAGCTAACACTCTCTTAAATTGATCAATTTAAAATACACACACCACACACACACATACACACACACAAAAGAAGAAAAAGAAAGACAAAAGAAAAATAAAATTATATTCCTGATTGGGGGAAAATAGAGATCAATGAATAATGTGACCTAACTCACCAAAGAGCAATAAATCGAACTGTTCCAAATTAAAGGTCCCTTTGTGCATCCACCGGATATTTTCTGCCAAATTCAAACCTTTTTTCCTTCATTTGATGTCTTTAATAATCATATCATCAGAGGGGCCTTGTTTTCATAATATTATGGCAGGATTTGCCAGAAGCATAAAAAGTTTGAGTTTTATTGGGTGTATTCATTTGTTTGAATGGAATAGCATATTAAAATTTATTAAAATTTGTACAGAAAGAAAATGATGAAATTCTAATCGAATATATTCCAATATAATTGCAACGGCAATTCCAATGGATATTTCAATGCTATTATTTTCGTTGGAATTATTCCAACGGAAATTCCACAAAAATATTATGTTGGAACGAGTTTTCTATTGGAATTTCCGTTGGATTTTGACGATTCTAACTGTAGATTTTCCAACGGGGGTAAAAATAAAAATTTCAACGAAAATTGCATATTCTAACGGAAATTCCTACAGTCAAAAGTCGTTGAAATCTTCAAATTTCATTTAAAATTCCAATGAAAAATACATTCCAACGGAATATTTTCGTTGAAATTTCTGTTGGAATCATTCCAACGGAAGCTATACCATTGGAATATCCGTTGGAATTTCTATTGGAATATATTACAATTAAATTTTCCGTTGGAATATAACAATTTTTTTTTTTAGTGTTGAAATTTTGTAAGATTTATTGATTTTATCAAAATTTCTTGAAAACTTGAGTATGAAGTGGAATTTAGTTCTAAGATTTCATACATGTAATTTTTATTTGATATTTCGACAAATCTTAAAAATTCTAAAAAAATAAATTAAATATCTCTTGATGTTTGTTTATTTTTTTAATCTCAAATGATTATCTTAAAAGTTTTAAACGTTTTACAAAAAAAAAATAAATCAGATTAAATACTGCATGATTTTTACGACCTCAAAAGGTTTTAAAAATTCCAAGGGAATTCCAATGGATATTCCAATGTTATTATTTCCATTGTAAATTTCCAATGGATTTCAATTCCAACAAAAATATTCTGTTGGAATTAGTTTTCCATTGGAATTTCAAATGGAATTTGATGATTCCAACGGCTATTTTTTCAATGATTTTTTATCGTAGGAATTTCCGTTGGTATATGTAGTTTCCATTGAAATTTTTATTTCCACCCCTGTTGGAAAATTTGCCGTTGAAATCGTCAAAATCCAAATGGAAATTCCAATGGAAAACTAATCCCAACGGAATATTTTTGTTGGCATTTCCGTTGGAATCCATTGGAAATTACAACGGAAATAATAACATTAGAATATCTATTGAAATTGCCGTTGGAAGATATTTCCGTTAGAATTTTCCATTGGAATTTCATTATTTTCTTTTAGGTTCCGTTTGTTTTGAGGGATTTACTAAGGGATTTGAAATCCATAGATTTAAAATTTACAAGTTCAAATGCTCATGCATGTTGGGATGATAATGGAAGTTGGAGGATTTCAAATTCATGCTACATGTTTTTAGTCATTATTTTGAAGGATTTAAAATGACTTCTCAAACCTAGTCATTTGAAATCCACTGTTTATCACCGTTGACAACTACGCCGTCCGCGATCAATTAGGTTCATCACCACCGCGAGACAACACCATCGGTGCGAGCTAGACAATTTATTTATAATGTTTTCAACACATCCATTCAAGGAGTGTCCAAGTAAAAAAATTTATATTTCAAAACTTTTGAAATCAAGGGATTTCAAATCCCTCAAAACAAATGGAATCTTAGTGAATTGACGTAGCTTGTAATAATTTTGGGACAAAATGGTGATTTAAAAATTGCCTTTCTTTGAATATTTGGATGAGACAGTGGTACGATCAACACTTTTATCTGGATTGGTTGCAGCCGGTCTGAGAGTGGAATCTACCAATCCTATAGTAATATATTCAAATGGTAATTCCAACAGATATTCCAATGGTATAACTTCCGCTGGAATGATTCCAACGAAAATATTCCATTGGAATGTGTTTTCCATTGGAATTTTAGATGGAACTTGATGATTTCAACATCTATATTTCCAACGACTTTTTACCGTAGGAATTTCCGTTGGAATTTTTATTTCCACTACGTCGGAAAATCTACCGTTGGAATCGTCAAATCCAAAGGAATATTTTTCTTGGAATTTCCGTTGGAATCCATCGAGAAATTCCAACGGAAATAATAGCATTGAAATATTAATTAGAATTGCCGTTAGAATATATTTCTGTTGGAATTTCATCAATTTTCTTGTAGTGCAATACATCGTTCGATAATCTCTAGTCGGGGATATGAGAAGGGTTCGATTGTCATTGCCAAACCAAGCCAAACTCGATCCTACCTGTTAGAACACTAACAAGATCCTGCAACACCCCAGTCTCAATCAACAGTTGCAATGCCAATAACTTATTGACTCGTGTAAAGTAATTAAAAAGACGAATTAAGTTCAAGTTTTTAGTACAAGAAAAAACATGTCAAAAGGCCAATACTTAGCAATTTTAAAGCGAACTTAGACACCAACAATCATATTAATCAACGCTTAAACAAGCCGATTTAAAATCATAATCCCCATGAACAAGTTTAAATTAAAATGTTTGAGAAACAAAAGGTACATGATACTATATATTGTCCCAAATAGGGACAGGAGACACAGGACATAGAGATGTATTGATGCTTTCATAATGCTAATTAATTCTCTTTGTTTGAACATTGAACCAAACTAAAACAGGTTAATAATAAACCATTTGTCCCCACAATTTTGACACAAAAGTATGTCTACCGTAAACGATTAAGACAACAAATTCAATTCAAAGTGTGAAACTAACTAATTAGCCCGTAAAAAGTCAAAAAATAAAAATAAAAATGAAGTCAGTGTTGCCATAGAATTGTAAAAGTTCATGTTCACCAGTTTTATGCAGGTACATGAAATAAATGAACTAAACGCTATTCTCTGCCGACAAACAAAGGAACAGTTTAAGCAGTGCTAATTGACTTTGATCGATGTTAAAAATATTTAATTTATGAAGGGGACAACATAGATATTTTCTTTTATAAAATAAGGTAGATAATGTTGTGGAGAATCCAAATGACGTTTAACGTATTTTTGAATCTGTACAAAGCCAAAAATTTCATTACCCAACCAATTAATTAAACCTAACTTTAACTTTTTTTGCACCTATTTCTTTTTAATATTTGGATGACGACAGATTGACCCTAGAAATTTATCACAACAGGAAAAGGCAAGAGAATCGGGTAAAAGAATAGTTCCTTTCTGCTATACAATGCGAGGCATTGAAAAAGTTTTCAATTCAATTATTTTTTTTGTTGGGAAAACTGCTAAAACTAATTATAAAATCACACATTTATTATTCAAAAGTGGTCGGACTTGCCTGAAACCAAATAAAAATTGTACAATCACTCAAACTATGTGGTAAAATTGGAAAAAAAAAAAAAAAAATAATAGTCCAGGGCTTTTCTTATTTTGAAATATTAAGCTCTATTAATTACATTATAGCACTAATAAGAATATTTTGAAGTTGAATCAAAGCACTAGCACGAACTACCTCCATGGCCATGCTCATGGGCAAATACTACACGTCTATACTATTCTTAGTTGGGTACTGTACTGGGCCGGATATTATAAATTAGCTCTTATTGGACTGGTCCTGATTGTATTTCTGATATGGGCTTTGTCCGAAATTCCAAAACTGATGTTTGGGCTTCTAAAACACGCGGATTTATGGATTTCAATAAATTTTTAAAAAATCAGGACTTAAAGAAAATACATTAGGGTTTTGGTATTTATACTAAAAGTGCTGAACTGAGTAAAGTGCTATTCGAAAAGCGTGTTTCTGAAACTAATTTTACAATAGGTACAATATCAAGTAGTCTAACACTACTAATTGGTCTTGGCTGTCATTAGAAAGTTATCTTTCACATAAGTTATAACACATGTTTATTATCTTTTTTTACCGTAATTTTCTTTCATACCAAGGTTACTTTCGTCGCATATTTGATAATTCTTGGAAATTGCATGTTGAATGTTGCTTTTAACTACGAATGTTTTGTGAATGATCAGAAAGATTGAATTTTTGGTGCCAATGTTCTTTCCCTGTTACCTTGTTATATTCGAAAACCTGAGGCAATCTGAAAGAGCTAATAAATCAAGTGTCTCTTGTCAGTTTCTTGAGCTTAAAAATCAGTTATTGATATACATTTGAACATTCTGTTGGCTGGGATGTTTCACATGCTTATAGGAAGCTCTGTACTTTCATATTTAATAAAAATGTATATGAACTCTTAATATCCCTTTTCTGTTTACTTTCGTGTTATGTGTTTAACTTTGCTTGAGGCATATTTTCTGATTGCAGATGAAATTTAGAGAGATAAAAAAGTCTACAAATGATTTGGTAACTGTCTACTAATTTGTGTCCTTTTAGCTTATTTCAATTGATGTGTTGCAATTTGTGAGGAATATTTAAGACGCATCATTGGAGAAAAGTGAACTGGAGAACTTTTCGATTCACTTCTATACAAATTTCAACTGTTACAAAGTTTCTTATCAAACAAGGGCTGCTATGCTTATGAGATTTTCATGCCATCAATATATTATTTTCTGCTAAAGTGCCATCAAAGTGAATGGATTTTGTCTGTTTTTCGACTTCCAGATGGCTAAGTTGCCTGAAGGGATCACTGAGTTATTGCATCATGAGAAATTGAATGTGCATTTGGTATATTCTGTGTCATCAGAATCTTTTTAGTCAGTAGATACTAGATGATTGTGTTCGAAATTAATTAATTTCCTCACTTGTAACAAAATATGTCCCTGGTACGTGAAGAGAGTTATCGGGAATCAAGAAAAGGTCCTCAGATCATTACTTTCGAACGAAAGGCTAGTAACTTCTGCTTTAGAATATTAATTGGTTAGAAGCCGATAGCTATGAAGTATATTTGATGTTTATTTGGTGGATGCTCATTGACCCAACCCGTCTCATGACAAACGTCTTCACCAAATGATCTTGAAGTCGAAGCTTTTGTTACTGTTCATATAACTCTTTCTTTTCTTTTACTTTTTTTCGTTAAATAATTGAGGTTCCACACTTGCTGTGAGTTTCTTCAAAAACAAGCTGTCCAGGTCTGTGCTTTCATATCAAATTGTGTCCAAAATAAAAATCGGGATTATCTCATATTTCATGTTTGTTTGAGTATTGAGTATATGTCCTACTAATCGTGCTTTCACTTTCGAGATTTTTGCATTATTCTGTTTCTTATTCTTAAAGGAGAACCAATAATGTTCCCATTTATCCTCTTTTGTATTAGTCACGTGGAAAACATTTCCTAGCTGCATTCTCAATCACTAATACTGGTGGCCAGGTAATTAATGAATTAGCACAACATAGATGTATAACACATTGCAATAAAATAGTTTCCATAATATCATTCATTGAAACAAAATATACGAATAAAATTCAAAAATCACAAAATAACATCAAAGCATTTAATGTTCACCAGACTACTGCTGATATATGTGTGGGAGAAAAATGGAATTGAAAGACAACTTTTGCTAAAAGAAGAACAATGTAGGTAAAGAAAAAGAAAAAAAGAAAAAAGAAAAAAAAAACAGACAGAATTAAAACAAATACACCATAATCCATATCCCACCTCAAGCAGCAGCACACAACACAGCACTTTATCCTGCCCATCATACCATCCCATAAACAGCCTTCAATCAATATACCCCATAACCCCAAACTTGTTTATTGATCTCCCAAACTATAAGTTTCAGATAAAAAAAATAAACTCATGCTTTAGGCTTGAGGACTTTCACAGTCTCCCAGGTGAAATCCGGGTCATCACGCCCAAAGTGACCGTAAGCCGCAGTCTTCTGGTACCTGAAATTCCCTCCCCTCAACAAATCAAGATTGATAGCAATCATCCCAGGCCTGAAATCAAAATTCTCCTTAATCAAAGCCAAGATATCCTTATCCGGAATCTTCCCCGTCTTATAAGTATCCACAAACACAGACAACGGCTCAGCCACACCAATAGCATACGAAACCTGCACAATACACCTCCGAGCAAGCCCAGATGCCACCACACTCTTTGCCGCCTGCCTCACAATATACGCACCACTTCTATCCACCTTAGTCGGGTCCTTCCCTGAAAAAGCACCTCCCCCATGAGCTCCCCACCCACCATAAGTATCAATAATAATCTTCCTTCCAGTGAGGCCCGCATCGCCATGTGGGCCCCCGATCACAAATCGGCCCGAAGGATTCAGATGGAAGATCGTGTTCTCGTCAAGATATTGGGCCGGGATCACGGGCTTGATCACATGCTCCTTCAGATCAGCCGCAATCTGCTCGTTTGTCACAGTTTCATCATGCTGGGTAGAGATGAGAACCGTGTGAACGCGAATTGGGACCATTGCACCATTCTCGTTTTTGTACTCAACAGTGACTTGGGTTTTCCCGTCTGGCCTCAGCCAAGGGCAGGTCTTGTTCTTCCTGACCTCGGTCAACTTTGCCCCGAGCTTTGTGGCGAGGACATGTGTCAAAGGCATGAGCTCTGGGGTTTCGTCAGTGGCGTAACCGAACATGTGGCCTTGATCTCCAGCACCAATTTCCTCAGGCTTCTTGGTGAGATGGCCATGGACTCCTTGAGCAATGTCGGGGGACTGCTGCTCGATGTTGACGAGGACTTTGCAGTTGTCGGCATCGAGGCCGACGTCTGGGGAAATGAAGCCGATGCCTCTGCAAGTGTCTCGGACGATTTTTTCGTAGTCGACTTGAGCTTTGGTTGTGATCTCGCCGAATACCATGACCATGTTTGTCTTGGTGCAGGTCTCGCACGCGACCTTGCTCTCAGGGTCTTGTTCGAGGCAGGCGTCGAGGATGGCGTCAGAGACCTGGTCACAGAGCTTGTCTGGGTGGCCTTCGTTCACGGATTCGGAGGTGAAGAGGAAAGTGTCCATTTTTCGTATCTGGAAATGGAGTTGTTATGTATGGTTAAGTGTTTGGGAAAGTTGAATTCGAAAAAAAAGTATGAAGGATTGATTGAGTGAACATATATATCAACAAAGTGGAAGAATAGACTTGATTACTACTCATCCTGGATCAGCTAAAAAGCGAGATCTTGGGATATAATTAGATGAGACCAATGTGTCATTGTCGAAAGATGAACATAATAGGGATTAAAACGAATAAGGGCAGGAAAAACATAATCTTTTTTTTTTTTGTATATTAGATTTGCTATAAAAAGAAAAGGCAATTTTCCTTCATTCATGAAATAGAAATGAGAACAAACCCAGCATATGTTGAAAGAAACATAGATCTACAAAGATATAATGAAATAAAACTCAGATCCTTAAATGACAAATCACAATGTTCTTCAGAGAAAAAGAAATGATGCCCAACGAGATCTGGATCACATGACGACAGAGCACTAAGAATTAATGGCATCTCATATATTGAAATCTCACATATTGAATAATTTCAAACTGTTTCATCACATAAAGAAATGATGCCTAACGAGATCTAGATCACATGACGACAGAGCACTAAAGAATTAATGACATCTAATATTGAAATCTCACATATTGAATAATTTCAAACTGTTTCATCACATTTTTTTGCTAGAATCTCATGAAATTATCACATCCGCCAACAAAAATGAAAACCCAATCATAGGCAGGTAAAAATAAATGGCATTTCATAATCGAAAATCTCACATAATTGAATAATTCCACAGCGTTTCATCACATTTCTTTCCATAATCTCATACTATTATCAAATCTTCAACATTAAATCGTAGAAATCAAAACCCAATCATAAGCAGACCAAAACAATACGAAAAAAGAATATCAAATCATGGATCCTTAGAAAAACAAAACCACCATTACCAGATCTAAAACATCAAAACAAGAGAAAAACAAATTCTAAGTCATCGTCCCTACCTTCTCGTAGAGACAAGCCCTTAGATCTGCGGAGCGAAAATGGAATAGACGAAGAGAGAAGGAGAGCAAGGCACAGATTATCTTCACCTCAGACCCGCATATATATAGAGACGGATCCGAACGACTCGCTCTCGATGGTGGGCCCAAAAAAAGCGAGATGCTGCCAGCTGGCGGTTGAAGGGTTGATCAACGGTGTAGATGCTTTGAGCTTGTAAGTTGGGTGGTTGGTGATTGTCCAAATACATTTTTGACGGGCACATGTGTTGTACCCGGTGCAGCTAAAAGTGTACGTGGGTTGGTGAACTCTCGTGAGCCGTAAAAAAAAAGGAAATTTTATTGATTGGGTATTATTATTCCAACATTGTTTTCAGTGTAGGTAATCCGTAAATGGAAAAATATTGATTGGTTATGCCAAATTATTTTGAGTTGAGTGCACGTAAAATTGATTAATGGAAAAAATATTTATTGGTATTATTAGCAAATTCCACATTACCCGTGAACTTGCCTTGTGGAATTTAAATATGGGTCAATACATAGTTAAATTTTGTTGTGTAAAATCGAAATTGCCTGTAGCCAGCCATAACGCGGCTGTAGCTCGATTGGCCATTAACCTTATATAAAATTCAGTTTTTTATTTTATTTTATAATTTATTTTTTTTTGGGCCACCGACTTAGTACTTGCATATTAATTGAGAGATCATTTAATAACTGTAACCCAAGTTAATAAACATATAGAGTCAAAGATACTAATTAACTAAGAATATCAACTTTGATGATTGATTCGGTTTGTTGTGGCCGAAAAATTGAGAACTTTTTGTTTTTCTTCTTTCACTACTAAAAACAAAAATATCACTCTCTTACTTTTTAGTAAAAAAAAAAGTGTGATACGTAAACATTATAAATTAATTGAAAAAGTTTGAACTTATCTTAGGTGTTTTATTGAGATAGCGATTTAAAAAGGGTCATTCATATTTTCATTAAGTTAACTTTATCAAATATTTTTGTCATATCAACTTGATTTATACTCATCTGTGTACCTATCAATTATTAGTTAACATATCAAATTTCGGTTAGTTTCAGGTAAATCTTTCAAACATACTCTAATATAAATGACATTCTTAATTCCAATTCCATCAACTTCATCATGACAATAAAAATGTTTAAATTGCTTTTTTAATGATATTTTTATCTTAATGCTTACTTGTTTTATCCATTCACATATACAAGATTGAGAGTGTTCTTTAAGTGAAATATTTTGTGCTATGATCTTTGAGTGAAATTATTTTTATCTTATATGTGATGTTTTTGGATTCTTGTTTGTGTGTTGCAAAAGATGATGATATTGTTTAACCTTTTTTTATTTTGAATTTTTGGGGTTTGTTTCTTAACAATTCAACTACAACCGTTAAATTTAACTATTCTTTAAATTTAAAATGAAGGAATGGAAATATTACTTTTTTATAAAAATACAATGAATAAGATCTTTTGTGTATTAGCATTACTTTATATTATTTTGCTCTTAATTCAAAATATTCTAACTCGGGTAAGACTTTAAATTTGGTTTGTCCTCAGGAGAACAATGCCAACTTACATTGAGTTCTACCTTTAATTGCTAAATTAGACATAGTAATAATGGTTAAAAATTCGATCAAAACGTTTTAATCATTAGATTGCATACTTTGCTTAATCAGATGGTTAAAAATTCGATGAATAGATTTTAATAATTAGACTGCAAACATTTACAAATGTATATAATTCGAAGGTTAAAAATGAAAACGGTCAAATTATTTTGTCCATCTGCTTATATTTTGTGCACACGGTGGAAAAGACATTGTTGGGTAAAGTAGATTAGGGGATAATTGTTTAATGCAGATTGTACCTAAGTGTCATAGGATTCAATTCCAGTACTAAAAGTCTAAAACCAATAAAGTTTTTGGTAGTTTATATTTAAGTAGGTTTTATTACACCTTTTTACATGAAATTTTCTGCAAACGACACAAGTTGTGTCGGCATGCTACAAGAATGGGTTGGTAGATGTCGACGTTTTACATTTACTACGCACCTACCCTTGCCAACTAGTCTTTTTATTATTATAATAATTATTATATTAATATTATTTAGTATGATGCCACCATGGCACCATCACTCGGTGTTAGTATGATGCCAACTAATCCATGTCTGTCTCATAGTTCAATTCTCAAGGCAAACATCAAGTGTACGACAATTAAATAGATGGTCTTCCATCTACGTGTAAGGAATAGATGTTGAAACACATAAAATGTCTCTAATGGTTTATTTATTCAACTTAGAAAATATGGATCATCATGTCTAACATGACTTCTACATGGAGAAAGAGTTCGAGATTTTTTTTCCTTCTCTCTCTTGCCATGTCATTATAAATAGAATCTAGACATTCATGGTTGGAGACATTTTTTATTAAACTTCTTCTACATTTTTACAATTAACAAGCCATTGGAGATGCTCTAAGTACCAAGGTTGAAGGTCCAGACTCGAGTCGAACCCAGCAGACAACACCTACACATAGTTGTTATTGTGGGTTTGTGACCTCTCAAACTTCTTTTATTATATAAAGGAGTCATACCGATTTAAGAGTTTAATGTGGAAAATATCTCTTTGACCTTTTGAATCAGACAACCAATTAATGCACCTTAAAAATAAATTACTTTAATCATTTATTTCTCACTTATCGAAAGTTAGTTTTCAGAAAATAAATATACCACGAACATCTATTGCTATGTAAAATTATTATGTGAAAATAAATTCAACTTGAATTAAATTTTTAGACATAGAAAATCAGTCGAAATTGGGTCAGAAACCCATTGTTTTATATAGATTTCTAACTGCAACGATAGATCAATGAGCAGAAATGCTTGTCGAAATTATGTACGAACGTGTGATATAACAAAAGTTATTAAAGGCTAATCTCTAGGATTGTATTTATGTTTTTAATTGCTCGTTTATGTTATGTTCCACAGAAGATATCGAGAGCGTACCACTAAACATGTAGACGAGATTCCATTCTTTGGATCGAACGTTTACACAATTAACATAGATTTATATGCTAGATGAGATTATTCCTAATGCTCTAAATATTCTCCGCTTCTTCACTTATATTATATAGATAATTTAAGTATGTTTCTATTTTTTGTAGTTTTTACATAATTTTACTTCCTACACCGTGTTTTTAATGTTGAGGTCCATATTTTCTTTTCATGTGTAATCAATACTAACTCTAAATTCCGAATAACCTGCCTTGAGAGATCACCCCGAGGTCGATATTCCTTCCATACTCAAGTGGAAATTAATTTCCTACAACAATCATTCACCGGATTTAAGTCATATTCTCACATTTCATATTTCTATGAAAAATGAGTCTCCAAATAAATATTGACTATTACATGGCTCGTGCAATGCACGAGGAAGCTTATATAAATAGCATAAATTGTTGTTCATTGTACAATATTAAAGCTATCATACACTATCATTTTGCTCACATAAATACAAATAAAATAATGTATAAATTTTGATATATTATTTATCATGTTCTCATAAAAGCATTTTGATTTAATTATTTGAATTACATTATATTTATCATAACAAAGTATTTTTGACAATTAAAATTCATATTTACTTCAACAATCGACTTGCCCCCAACATATTAAACCATTCGGCACCTCAACTATTCATATACAACTTCTATCATAAGCAACATAACAAATTAACCAAAAACATGATAATCCAAGATGCAACACCAAGTTGTGCAATACTTTTAAGTATTTTACAAATGAATTGAAAGTGACCCAATAAACTTGGGTAGTAACCCATTCACTCGACCCGATTGACTCAAAGAATTTTTATTTTTTAACTTTAAATATGTCCAATTTTATAGAATACAATTAATGTACGATTCATATCATAAATGTTTATAAAATGACAATATATATTAAGTTTCTAAATTATAAAATTAAATATAAATAAATTGTTTTTTATTTTATGCATGTTTATGCATAAATAAATTTAACAATGTCTAAGAACTTAAAATTACTTAGTAAATGACAGCAATTTATACAATGACGCGTATACCTACATGGTTCAGTACCAAGACAAATATTTTTATATTAATTAATGTATTTATAGTATATTATTAAAATGTTATAACGAATAAAATGTATTAAAAATAAATCATATTATTATTTTATACATGCAAACAAAATACACTCAACTACATAAAAATAACTTAAGATAAATGCTTATAATTATTAGTATATATTGTTTAACAATTCTTTATATTTCAATTTGAGAAATCTAGCAAAATTATTATAATTATAAAAAAAAATACATTTTTTATTCTTTTAGGAAAATTTATGAACTTAATGAAGATATTGTTTCAATAATAACAAAGATTTTTTAATTAATGGATTGTAATGATCAAATTAATCAAGAGATACCTCATTAAAGATTAGTTATAAAAAATAGATAATAAAAAAAAAAAAAGAATTACGGTTAAAAAAAATTCTATTTTTAATAAACCAAAATTTTAGTGAAAGTTTTCACATACTATTTATAGTAAATGCATTATATAAGTAGGGATGAGTTCTAGTGAAAAAGGTTCTCGTTGAAAGAATTATGAATATATAGTAACCATAAGATCTAATAATCTAATGAAATAAAAAAAGCAAAAAATTTACACTCCTCCGAGGGAATTTTGGACATTATCCCGCCCATCCATCGGGGGTGTCAGCGCAGCTGATCCCCTTCTAATGCGAGGGGACGGATGAGAGGTTGGTGCGGTTGAGAAGGGGCCGGTGGTAGGGGGAGGAGAAGTGGGCGGTGGTCGGGGGAGGAGAAGAGGGTTGGGAACTTGGGGGGCCCCTATTTGAAGGTTAGATAAGTTTTGGGGACATATTCGTAATTTTATAAACCTTAACATAATGCAATTTAGTTCATGGATCTAATTTTTAATTTAATAAAATTTGTTAATTGCACAACAATATTATGTGAAATGCATAATGTGCACGTGTAGATATGCACAATAATATTAAGTTAAATGTACTGGAATTTCTGTATTTGTGTCTTGGGCCGGATTTTTGTCTATGCGGGTGGTTGCCTCCGGGTGTTGATTTTGTGATTTTGTTTTGGAGTGTTTTGTCGACTGGTGGAGAGGGTGTTATTCTAGTATTGCTAGTGTTTTAGCGTGTAGTGTGCTTAGTTTGTGTTTATGTTTATTAAGGTGTTTCTCCGTTATTGGAGGTAGTATTCTCCACTTGTGTGATATTCATAGTCTTTTTTTTCGTAGTCTCGTGGGTGTGTTCTAGTGTAGTTGATTCTAGACTACCAGCGTTCTATTCATGTAGGCCTCTCTCTGGATTCAGCTGTATAGCTGCTTTCAAGATAGTAATTTTGTATTTTTATCTATAAAATATGTCATCCAAAAAAACAATATATAAGAGAACTCAAGATTGTGTTATCAGATTCTTCTTCCTTATGTAAAAAGGGAATCAATAAATCAATCAAATTCCGGGAGGCTTCGTGTAATAAGATTGTGACAATAATCAAACCTAATTTTTTGGACCGCCCAGTAGACTCAGTTTTAATCCAACCCCTGTTCTTTTATTTTTTCCTCAAATTTGGCGGGCACCCATGACCCATGGCAGGGTGAGTCGGGTTGGCCACTAATAGGCTGCCAGGATGGCGGGTGACATTCATCATATTTTCATGCATTATGAGTGATATATTGTGATATTTGGTCATGGTTATCGTGTGATTGTGCACCATTTTGTGTTATTTATTAATCTATGATAGAGGTGTTTTTGTCGTTAGTTTTGTAGGAAATATGCCCGAAAATGCGTTGGAAATGGAATCGGGACGAAAAACGGCGAAAACGGGTGCAGAAGAGGTCACACGACTCGTGTGGGTAGTGACACGGGTCGTGTGACCTCACACGACTCGTGTGACCCGGTCGTGTGACCAGTCGTGTGAGTCTGAAAGTTCGCCGAAATGTTGAGAAAAGTCACACGACTCGTGTGGCATGTGACACGACTCGTGTGACGCGCAGACCAGACCTGCGGGGAATAGGATTCTTGTGCGATTTCTTCCCTTTTTCGACCCAGAAGTGCCCTACAGTATAAAAGAGGCCTTAGGAACTCGTTTTTTGAACTTTTGACACCATTGGAGGCCTAGAGAAAGCACGAAACACACGAGAGATTCGAGGAAGTCAAGATTGAAGATTCGGGAACTAACGGCGACAATAGTTCTTCTTTCTTTTCTCTTTTTCTTCTTCATTGAACTCATGGATTTATTTATTTTGAGCTTTGAGAATATGTTTAGTAGCTAAACCTATTAGATTCTAGGATTGGTTAGTACTCGGATTAATTTATGATTTAGTTTTTATTTCTTTCATTCCGGTTTATCTTTCGTTTATGAATTTCTTTTGCTTATTATTATTGTGTGAGTAGATGGCCACTATGAATGCATATTTGTGATCGATTTGAGACCGAGAGGAGATAATTGATTGCTAGAATTGGGAGATTTATAACGTAAGAGAATAAACAGACAGAGAGGTTGATAGGACCTTGCGAGAGAACGAAAATCCTAGGAACTTATGGGAGTTAGTTGTTCATCTTGAGACCGAGAGGAGATAGATAACAATTAATATCTACGATTTGACTTGTTCGAGAGAAAGGTTTGAAATCAATTTAGCGATTATCTCTACGATTGGTAAAATTAAATAAGGTTTGTTTGAATATAAACGTTTCATGAATTAATTTCGAGGAACGCTTAGCCTAGAATCTACCTTTCGTTTCTTTGTTTATTTTTATTTTTATTTTTAGTTAGATTAGTTCTAGTTTAATTCTTAGTTTATAATCATCATTCAATTCACTAGTCTAGATAATATTGAATCGTCATTATTTTAGTATTTAATTAATTTAACTACAATCTCTGTGGAATACGACCTTGCTCGCCACTACCTATAGCTACTCCGTACACTTGCGGATAGCAAAAATAATTAGCGAACAGCGGGCTAGCCTACCCTGCTTCGCCTCGCTTAACGGTAGGTTTTGGCGGGCTGTGGGTCAACACAACCTGCTGATCCGTTTTGACATGTCTATATGTGGCCAATCGTGTTATTACTGGTTTACATGCTGAATTGACTCTCACTTCCTTAATTTACTAGTTTATAGTTTCAATCGACTAGTCTACTATTTTAAAAAATTTGATATGTTCTTCCCTGAAGATTTCCCCATCATATTTATATTTGATATTTGATTGTACTCTGCATCAAATTTACCATTTCGCCTAAATGAAACTAGTTGCGCTTGAGTTTGGCACAATGCGAGCTCATCTAAAGCATGTTAAGTTAACGAGTCGAGTTGAATTCAACTCATTCATCTTGAGCTTCAATTCATTAATATTGATAGCGAGCTGTGATCGAACTTGTTTATCGACTCGTTTAGTTACTGGTCGGAGCTTGGCTCATTTGAGTTTCAACTCATTAATATTGATTCATTGATAACAAGCTGAGATCAAACTTATTTATCGGCTCGTTTAGTTACTGACCGGAGCTCGATTCGGCTCATTTAGAGATTTAATTTCGCACAAACCTCTTAATCCATTTTTGTTACATTTTGAGGAATTTACACACCATACAGTAGTCAATCCATTGAAAACATACACGTGGTTGTATATGTGAAAACATATATTGAAAATATAATGCATATATATACAAAATATATACTACAAATATATATATATATATATATATATATATATATGCCCAATCGAAAAGGGAAACAGCTCCAAATGTATGTGCTTTTTACAGAGAACCCTAAAATTGTAGGGCTTGCGGCGGAGGAAAAGTCGAAAAGGCTGGTGAGCGTGTTGTCGATGAAGGTAAGGTATGCCGATGCAGAATCCGGCTTGGGAGAGGACGATCAGTGCATCGACGATGAACCTGGCGATGGGCCCACAGACGGCCAACCCTAGATCTCCGAAAGATGAGATCTTTGTGAAGGCGCAGGCGGCGGAGTCCTCGAGCTTGCGACGGGTGTGGATGAGGAGCATCATGCAGTCGTAGGTGAGGGCGGCGACGAGGAAGACGGTGACGAGGCTGGTCAGACATCCGGTGCGCATGAAAGTGTACGGGAGGCTAAGTACGCCGGCGCCGACGTTGGCGAAGGTCTTGGTCTGGGACGAGAGGCGTGGAGCTTTCTGGCGCCGGACAGCAGATGGGTGTCCTCCCGCGGCAGGGAATTGGCAGACGAGCCAGATTTGAACACCATATTTTTCGATCTAGGGAAAATTGATTACGGCTTCTGTTTAGAGTATTAACTTGCAGCGATTTTGTTGCAAAAATTGAAAAGAAAAAATCTTAATTAAAACATTCCATATTTCACATGTTGACTTCGAAAATTAAACATTAGGTATATGTGCAATTATTTTGTGTTGAAGTTGTATTTTCATAAAAAAAAACTAACTGGTGTTAAATATGGAATATAATTATTATATGAAAGTATGGGGTGTAAATTCCTCATTATTTTTTCTCTTCACTATATATTGGGCCACATGACCTTTGAGTTGTAAGCCCGATTGTTCGTGACCTCACAATCAGTACTAAATTAGCCCAACCTCTAATATACATTGCCAGTACACAAATTTCTGATAAAAGGAAGGGAAATTTTCAAGCTTCCTACGTGATATGCAAATAATATCAAATTTATCATTAAGAAACAAATAATTTGGAAGATACTTGATAGACCAAATATATTTACGTGAATACCTAATCTTCAGTTACATGGTAACTTCATCCCTTCCATATCTGATTGACGTGAATTACGGGATGGTAACTGCAAAAAAATACAGAACTATTCAAACAACAATCTCGTCAACGTTCCATCGGATTTTCCGTGATTTTACGAGCTCACGATCCAAAATCGATGTACATAAACTGAAAGTGGATCGATGGGATTTTTCACCCAAACTCGCTCCACATATATCGAGCGTGGATCGACCAAAAATCACAGCACATATACTGAGAGTGTTTCGATCGAAAAATTCATCGAAAATCGCTGCACGTATACTGAGTTGCTGCACGTATACAGAGATTTTTTTCGAGCAGATATAGCGATTTTTTTCATCCAAAATCGCTGCACATATAGCGAGAGCGGAATTTTCATCCAAAATCGCTGCGCGTATGTATTTTTTTTTAACGTATATTTTTTGATTTTAACGCTTATTGTGCAAGAACGATTAATGGTTTTTTTTTTTCTTTGTAGATGGATTCGAGCATGATGATTTTCATACATCACGGTGGTGAATGGATCATGAACGATTACGTGAACTTCCGTCTTTCAGGTGTTTTGATACGAAAAGATTGCACATTCGAAGAATTATGTGGTATATTGTGTGCTGAGTTCGGGGTGATGTCCCAATCATCGGTCATTGAACTGAAATATAAGCTGAAGGAAGATTGCCCACCAATGTCCATAAAATACGACAAAAGCATGAGCTTCTATTTTTTCTTGAGGTCTACAGAAGCTGACTACACGAAGTATCCGATATGCTTGGAGGTTAAGGCTCATAGTATTGCTGAAAATTCGTCGCAGATTGAATTAAATTCGAATTCTATGAATACCGAGACAAATGTTGCACCATTGAGTTACCCGGGTCTTGACAGGTACCCTGATATCCCAGATGGCTCGATAAATTTCATGTCTTTCGCGAGTAATGTAGCTGAGGATATGGTACAAGTTGCAGCAGATACCGAGAATATGCTTAACATAAACCCTGATAGTGGTATGGGGTTGACATTCGAACAAAATGTTGACTCTCGAATTGTTGCGGGTCGTTTGATAAAGGATAAAAAAGAGTTGCAGAAATTGTTGACAGTGGATGCTATAAAGCATTAGTATCAATTCAAGGTGGAGAAGTCTTGTTCCCGGCAGTACTATGTAAGGTGTGTCTCATTTTTGCAATCTTTTACTGTGTCGTTCCTTTTTCTCAGGCGTGTTCAATGGTTATATTTTATTTAGTATATTCCAGTGATATTTAGTTACATATTCTGGTATATATACTGTGGCGTTTTTTCAAAAGGTTTCAGTGATATTTTGAACATCGTATATAATATGGTATATATAAGGTAAAAATAATTTGGTTTAATGTTTTGTTTTTTGTTGAGGTAGAACTGATGTTTGCACGTGGTATATGTATGGTATGTTTAAGTTTGAACCGGGTATATTTAAAGTATACATTTGTTCCTGTTTTATATTTATTGTATATATGCGTTATAATTTTTCAGAGAGTATATAAATGGTATATGTAAGGTAAATTATAACTTTTTCTGGTGATTTTCCAGTGATATATAATTATATATTCTGTTATATATACTTTGTCGTCAACTATTCTGTCATTCATGTTACATATATAGATATATATATATTTACAATTACATGCAATAAACAATCCTCTCTTATTTATATAGGTGTGTATCGAGTGATTGTTCTTGGTTTGTGAAAGCATCACGTCTCGGTACATCAAACACGTTTAAGATAAGGGGCGTCGGGACGGAACATAATTGTGCGTTGGATGTTCGAACAAGTAACCAGAGACAGGCGACCTCAACCGTTGTTAGTGATTTTATCAAGTTCAAATTCACGAACACGAAGACTGCATATAATCCCCTTGATATCATTGACGACATGCAAAGTCAATATGGGATAAACTTGACGTACCAAAAAGCGTGGAGGTCAAAACGGAAAGCTATTGATGAAGTACGTGGCAAAGTTGATGAATCGTACAATTATGTTCATCAATATCTTTTGAAGGTACGTGAATCAAACCCGGGTAGTATTTTTAAGGTGAGCACCACTTTGGATCAGAATTTCTTGTACGTCTTCATGTCACTCGGGGCATCTGTTAAAGGATGGCCCCATTGTCGGCCAATTGTTATTGTTGATGGTACATTTTTGACTTCGGCGTACGGAGGACTTTTGTTAACAGCATGTTGTCAAGATGCAAATTCGCACTTTTGTTATCACGCATATACTTGAAAAATACTAGCAATATACTAAATGTAGTAGATTCATTGACCGTATATCTAATATAATGACCATAACCGAATATAATCCAAAACAAAAAACCGTGTCAATTAGCATACCAGGTGACAGTAAAAATCAGATAAAAATTATTGAAGTCAAATCCAGCCACTGTGTGATTGTAAAGCATAAAGCAACTTAAAAAAATATGATGCTCAAGTCAAATAGAGTGGTGTGGACCATTAACATTTGACTATATACATAAGAAATAATCTGCCAAAGACAAAATCTACCTGTAACAATCAACAAAAAATCCAGCCGTTGTGTGTGGACCACAAACAATAAAAATGAAGCTGAATAAATTGAACACCGATAACAAAAATTCTTAAATTCATCATATAAATTACCTTATACAAAATCCTTTCTTGAACATGTCGAGGGGCCCTGTGGATGTCGGTGTTATGCATTCTTCTCTTCTTCGATAATTTCTCTTCTTTTTTTTCCTTTTCTGGGCCGTTTTTTTATTTTCTCCTTCAATGTTTCAAGCGGGGAATCTTCTTCGGCCAAATCTTCTTCACTCCCATTTTCTTCAGTTTGACTGTCATACTCGGAATGAGGGTCTTCTTCGCCCAAAAATATTTCGGTGGGTTTAGTCTTCTTCGATTTACGGGTTCGGCGATTATTTTTCGGCGGATTTGGGTCTGACTGGAAGTCGTCTGAGCCGGGAGATGAAGTAGATTTTTGGATTCTACTCTTGCCGGAAGACTTGCGACTAGGATTAGGGTTTATATCTCTTTCGAAAATTAGTTTTTTTTGAACAAGTTTTGGTTGATTTTTTTGGTGGATTTTACGGAGACGATCACTCGATCTTAGATGAGGTGGGTCGTCGGCATCATCTGTCGGAATTTTTCGCTGAGGCCGAGGGATTTTAGTTTTGGCCATTGAAGGAGATTGGGAAAAGAATAAGGTAGGAGACGTATTGTTGCAGTGAAGGAGATTGGGAAAAGAAAAAAAGTAGGAGACGTGCTTGCTTATTTGTTCCCCATTTTTTGGTAAGTGTATCTTTAACTCCCCTAAAATCTCTCATTAGCATTTAAAAATTTGATAACGGTTCTTGTAGTCTTTTAGGTACAATTGAAATATTTGTTTGTCATTTAGGTAATTTTATAAATAAAAATATAAAAAGTTCAAAAGTGATATTAAAATGAGATATATTAGTGGGGTGTAATTTCCTCTAAAAAGGAATCAGATTCTGGTTTCAAATTCAATGCACCAATAAAATCTCATGTCGGAATTGACTGGCTGGACTCGGGACACCCTCAATGCTGCATAAATCGCTCCCATGGCCATGACGGTCCATCATCATCTCCCCACTTTTCACTGTGTTTCATCGAATAAAATTCCGTTTTCTTCTCATTTCCCTTCACCGGGTTCCATCGTTATTGATCGGCAAAAGTGCCGTTGCTCTTCGATTGTTGCTTGTTCAATCAAAAGACCCACCAAGTTGGTTTTATTTTTATCATTTTTTCTTGTTTTCTTTCAACTTCCATTGTGTATTCGCGCTAAAGTTTGGATCTTTATTACGTTATCTGTGGATATTCCGTTGAAATGTTTTACGGGATGGTGTTTGTATTTGAGCTGGCAATTGAACTTGACAAAGATTCCATTTTTTTTGTTCCTTTTCCTTTGTTATTGAATTGAAGGTTTGTGGGTTATGTGTTGGGTTTAATTGTTTACAGAGGTAGTAGGAAGGTAAGGAGTGATGCGGATCTTTGCAAGGATATTAGGGAGTTCTTGTCCAGTGCCGGACTTCCGGAAAATCATGTGCCTACTACGAAGGAGCTTTCGGACCATGGAAGGTTGAGCTTTATGTCGTTTTTTATCCGATTCAATTCCATTTCATAATTACTAGATTCTTGTATTGGAGAAATAGCCTGTTAAAGGTTCTAATATGCTGATCAGTTTCCTATTCATGATGCTTGTGGAGTAGTAATGACCGGGCGTTCTTAATATGCTGCTGCTTCTGCTGATGAAAGCATTATGTTGATTGTTTTTGTTTATTTATTTTTCCCTATGTTCTGACTATTTATGTGATCATTTTTATGTGCATCCAATGAAAGCATTTAAGGTTATTTGTGATATAGATGAACAACTGCTATAGTAGGTTGAATTAGTGGGAATTATAGTTTCTCCTTGTAGTTGCTGAACGATGGCCGTGAAATTTGGAACCGGAAGTTTCTTGCTACTGATATAACTGAACTTGATGAAATTGGAATTGGCCAAATTTTCAGGTCACTAGGAGGATATTAGTAAAATGAAAGTAAAAAACCATGCCTATGTAACTCAAGAATGCGTTCTGTTTTACTTATATGTTGTATACAGATGATTCAAAGATCTGGAAAACTCTTATGTGTTTCAAATGAATCCCTTACCTTAGCTTCGAATATTGACATCAAGTTAGAAAAAGATGGCTTCGTAGTTCCCGATGGTTGTATTAAAGTTTTGAAATTATTTGCTTACAAGTGAGCTTCTAACGGCATCATATGTAAGCTTTTCCTTAGATTCAATCATGTGGATTATTATTGAATAATATGGTAGAACTAGCTTATTGCTTGTTAAGGGACACAAATTATACGATTTTAGTTTCTTTAGTATCTTAATTTTACAATTTTGTAGGCAAGACCTTTCAAATGTAGTCAGGCGCAGAGGGTACAAGTTCATTAGAAATCTCCTTTCAAACTCATCAACAGAAAAAGTAGTTGAATCCAATATAGACACAGGTCAGACCAGATATCCTGTGTAGAAGTTATGTTCTTTTCACACATGTAAAGACATTTTATCTTTTTCTTGATTGTCTCGTGTTGTCGGAAAAGGTCAGAATGAGAAGCAGGAAGTTTTCATTGATTCATCGTCAAACGGGAGCATCCAAGTGGAAGGCTTTCATAGTTGCATAGAAACAGAGGAAGAGCTCAAGTCAGAGTCAAATGCTCTGTCTTTGCAGGAAAAGGTGGCTAAATTCATTCAGCATGGAGAACTGGATGCAATTGAAGGCAAGTCCCGATCAACTTCTACTTCTTTTTTACCTTTCCATTTTGATTCTTCGTGTAGCAACTTTTATATGCCAATTGTTAGTGTTTTCTTTTTTACCATTTCTAATGCCAACGTTTTCTTTTCCCAATTATGCATTTGCTTTCATGACATTTGAGATTGGCTAATTTCTTTCTCAGGTGATGGATTGGATATTATAAATGAAGTAGAAAATGGGGAGAATATTAAATCAGAAGATTCTCGAATACCGGAATTTGCATTCAGTCAAATGCCAAATGGAAATGTCTCTTCATCATCAGTCCAGCATATTGAAAATCCAGGTTCGGAGATTGACAACTTCAGGTCAGTTTCTTTCTTTATTCTTTCCTTTTTTTTTACTTCCTATTTTTCTTGAACCTTTGGTTTTCGTGCCACTTGTCATATCTTCTTTTGCTGCTATACCTTTTTCATATGGATCTCCTGCTCGTGCTTTTCTAACCTTATGACCATTGTACTGTAAATTTCGGAAGTTGCTTTGTTTCTGTTTTGTCACAACTTTATTTCTCACATTTGCATTAATGTATCTGGGTCATTTTGTAGACTAAGCAACATGTCAAGTGAAGAACAAACAAGTGTTGATGGTGATAAGAATTTAAATGATGAGGTCAGTTTATCATTAATTGGTCAGTTTAGGCTTCTCTTTCTCTCTCCCTCTCCCTCTCTCCCACTCTCCCTCTCTGTATGTATAGAGATACTACATAAATTTATACCGAGTTTCTTATGGTTGATTCTGGCGTCTGTTCCATTACAGAAAGTTGAAAATCAGGATGAAATTAGACGTCTCAAATTCTTGCTGGTAATACTATTAGTTATATGCGACTACCAGGCTTTGCTATCTGATGCCTTTCGACTTGCTTCTTCGTCTTTTCTTTTCTTTTCTTTCTTTCTTTCTTTTTTTTTTTTCTAAATAACTAATAATTTTGTATTTTGTTTTTGTGTGTAGCATCAGAAGGAATTGGAACTAACCCAGTTGAAAGAGCAGATTGAGAAGGAAAAGGTAACTTTGAATGAATATCACAACACGGAAAAGTACTTTTTCCTTTTTCTAGTGAATTATTTGATTTCATTTCAATTTTCAACCTTGCAGCTGTCTTTATCTCTCTTGCAATCAAAAGCAGAAACAGAGATCAGCAAAGCACAAAATCTTATTTCTAAAAAAGAGACCGAATTACATGCTGCTGAGGAGACCTTATCTGGGCTAAAAGAGGTGCAGATATTCTCTTTTTCCCGTTTTTCGTTTATGCAAAGACTAACACAATACATGAAATTGCATAATAATATAGATGTGTTTTTGTATTTCATTTGTTAGGTGGAGATTGATTACTCGGGTGATGGGGAGACTGTGGAGCTAGCTGGTAGCTTCAATGGCTGGGATCATACGATAGAAATGGAATTACAGCCATCATCAAATGTCACCCACTCATCTGGATCCAGGTTTTTAATCACTCCTCTATTACTCTTAGGAATTTTTTTACCTTTTTATTTATTTATTTATTTTTTGTGACATTCTTCATCCAATGGAAACTGGAAGTCAATTGTCCTAGTAAAATATGTCAGGTCATCTCGACTTTGGAGAGCTGTTCTGTGGTTGTATCCTGGGGTTTATGAGGTGCGAACGCTACCATCATTTGATGCATGTTTCTGTTTCAGAATGTAGACCTCAATGTTAAAAAAATATATATACAAAACGAAATTTAATCCTGTGTTAAATATTAAATAAATACGATCCTTAGGAAGGTGATTTATGCAATTCCTATGTTTGGTAAACACCATAAGCTAGCTTATAACTTATATGGTCAGCTTATAAGCATCATCTATTCAAATAAGTTTGGTTTGGTAGGACAAGCTTTTTTAAACAGCTCGAGTTTATCTCATAAGTTTCTTTGAGTAGCTTTTCAAATAAGCCTATTGAAATTTTATTTCAGCTAGCTTATCAGCTAATTTTATCAAACACTTTTATCATATTAGCTACTTTTCAGCCATAAGACATAAGTTATTTGCTATAAGCTCGAAATCTATAATTGACTAGCTTATCAACTAGGTTTACCAAACATAGCCTAAGTGTTCTAATTATTGAGCAAAAACTTGTGAAATAATTTTTGTGTGAATATTCATCAAATATGTCTAAATTGAAGTGAAATTGTGCATTATAACTCTGGCATTGACATTTTTCACATTATGAACCCACCTGCAGATAAAGTTTATTGTGGATGGTCATTGGAAAATTGACCCTGAAAGAGAGTCCATCAACTGGCATGGTGCACATAACAACATCCTTCGAGTAGACANTTGGTTGGGGAAAACAAAATTTTAGTTAAGGTTGTAGATTCGAAGCATCTCCGTAGTACAAGAAAGCATAGCTGTTAAAACATTTAAATAGGTCTAAAATTTATGAACTGTGTAATTTATTTTTAGGCATTATTTTCTTTTATGAACCGAAAATAACGATCAAAATAGTTGGTCTCATTACTTTGTCGTAACTAACTCCATTATGTTCCAAAATATATCAAGTTTTCTTCTTGAAAATATAACAACTCTTTGAAATTTGTTTAAGTTAAAAACCAAATTACATACAATTTTCAACCATATGTGTTAAATTACACTTTACTGTAAGTATATTTTCACCCATTTCACCCATTAGCTTTCGTTGCTGCGGAATTTTTGGGCTGAGATTGAATCGTTTAGGGGGTGATTGTTTATCATCTCTACTAAAAAAAACCAATCAAAACTCAAATTTAACTCAGCTCCACTATCTCCAATATTATTAATATAATTAAATAATATCAACCAATCATTCTTACACATCACATCAACTTTAGTTCACTATTCATCTACTCACATTATTTTAACTAATCATCACTTTCAATCGTTTTTCTCCTACTTTTACATCATATAAACTTTAATTATTTTATTTTAAATATTATTTTAATATATTCACTAATAACTAACCATACCACCTTTTTTCAAAATTAACTATAATTAAAAATCAATTATAATCTACTTGAATTTATAAACAATCACCCCCTTACTGACTTGGGTGGCACAATATTTTACTAGTTTAACATTTAATTTCCAACGAAAAAAGGCTCTTAGGAACAAAGGATGACCGAAAAGATTTAAGGGGAAGGGCCGTCGGAGAAAAAGAGGCTCTTAGAAATTGAGGATGAATTTCAATCAATTGAACAAGGATTGAAGCGGCCAAGGCTGTCCGATGACGAGCGTGACGATTGTATTTTCTTCGAAGATGACACATTTTTCAACTTAGAGTACGAACGAGTACTCTACTAGGTCAAATCTGCTAATTTAGCATCAATTATCTATCAAACAAACGAGTCTAAAAAAAATTGCATATGGAATCGAGAGATTCAAAATGATTTATGATATGTTCAAATTCACCATTGATAAGTGTGCGGCAGATGTGGTTGGCAATAAGTCATATGGCCGAAGAAGAATGTAACTTTAATTATTTTAAATATATTGTTATAATATTTTATTAAATCATAAAATAGTGATTAGGATTTTTTAATATTTACTTAGATTTTTTAATAATTAAAAATTTTAATTTTGAGGGCTCCGTTAAGTGAGTTAAGGATATGAATGAAAAATATTAACCAAAAATACCAAAATTCACGAAGTAAAAATTTTGAGTAACAAACAGAAGATAAGTTTTCTTGTAAAAAATAACAAGTAAAGAATAGATACCTCTACTAATAGCAAATCCTAATCTCATACCCTAATTTCAAACGAAGAGATGTCAGGAGAAGGCCATCGGAGAAAAAGAGGCTCGCAGAAATTGTGGATGAACTTCAATCAATTGAAGAAGGACGGTCGAAGCTGCCGGACGATGATGAGCGAGACGATTGTATTTTCTTCGAAGACGACACAGATAGGTAAGTTATTCAACAACACCCTGAATATTATTTTTGTGTTTGAATATCGTAGTATCCGAGGTATGATAGTTAGATGTTAGCAGAGGGTAGGGTAAACTCTTACATAGAGAGGTCTGGAAATTAAAACTCGGTGAAGAATATAGATGCGTGGATTGCGAGTACAACAAGATTTTGCTGCTAATAATACTCTACCACGCTCCCATCTCCACTCCGCGAGTCAGATCCAATCTTACTCGGCCACCTTCTGCTGAAGCTACTAGGCAGATTCCGGCAGAAGCTACTAGTTAGTTGTTCCTCTGGAATTTTAGGGGTAACAATATCTTGGATCTTTGGTGATTTGGGACATGGCAGAATTACAATGTGGTTTCATTGTAAAAGATCCTAGAGGAGGGTAAGTCGCAAAAATCTAATTTCCTCTTATGGTTAACTTAGCATTCATTTTCTCGCAACCCGAGAAGAATCCTCTTGTTTTTGTCCACACATAAACACGGCCATTGATCACGAGTCTGTTCAACGTGCCCAAGTTGGTCACGTCTCAGACATGATGCGTGTGAAGCCTTACATTGTACTATATTTGTGTTCTCCTCGGCCAGTGAGTTCCTGGACAGAAAAGGCAGGTCATATCCAGCCTTCAATCCTATTCTTTCTAACAACGACCTAGGACGCTTGACCAACCAGGTGTGTACTCGTGTCCAACTGTGTTTTTTAAAAAGAAGTCGTATTGTGTGATCTGTGTTGCTGTCCACAATTGAACTGTTGAAGAAAGGCTATGACAGGCCTATAGTGCAACAATGAAAGAAAAATCCAAAATGGACAAGGCACTGTGGAAGATCGCCGAGCCATCGTCAACCCTAGTGGTAATTAAATGGATTGTCTGAGGAGCGATTTGCGGTCTCGGGCCTTGTTTGCTCACCTTGGTTGAGATTGTTACATGAGCCACATCAATTTACGCAATCGATTATTCATATGTACAACAGAGCATGTGCACACAGGTAGAAAAAATGGCTCACATGCACGATAACATAATGTTAAAAACTATATATTTTATTGTTAAAAAAAAAGAGTATTTAAGATTTTCTACAAATATTAATTACACTATCTTCAAAAATTAGTTTTCATTAAATATAATAATTATTATAATTTTTTTATAATTAATAATTAATTTATGGTAATTTAATATTTATGGCAATGTGAACGTGAATATGAGTATGTTTCAATTAAAACTTAAACAAGAATGTAATAAATAAATAAATAATTATTTGTGAAAATATTTTTAATAAGTTATTTATAAACTATATTATGTATAATAATATATAAATTGTAATATGTTTTAGGCCTGCTAAATATAAACCTTATTTCTATTTTCTTGAGTGCGTAGCGGACAGAAAACGGGAATAAGTCCTTTTTAACGACGGTAGACATACCAATCACAGACGTCGAATCGAGTCGGTCAATGATTCAACTGTTTTCAACTTTTAGTCGTATTATCGCCCACTCACTACCTGAATGGCCCCTAAGAGAAGTGCGGGACGCGGCGGAGGACTGGGTGGACATAGCGGGCCAGGACCGAGCTCGGGCAGCTACAAGGCAGATCGAGGCTATAAATGTGAGTCCCCCAGAAGGCATAATTTTGAGCTTGGACAATCTCAATGGTGATGGATTCCGCGATTTTATCATAGGGTTTTACACTGAACACCAAGTTCCTCAGCAAAAAAAAAAAAAGACGTTTCTCCAGAGAGCCTAGGTTGTCTCAATTACTTTGATGTTTTTTTAAATGCTAATGGAAAGACAATTAGGTTACGGTTCCTTGAGTCGATCCTATACTTATTCGGATTTCAGCTCGAGCCACATGACAATTAGTATAGGATGGATGACTGGCTAGGAGACAGACAGTTAACCACCGTGAAGAATCATGGTTTATATCACCATGAGTGTCGATCATAGAAATGTACAGAAAGGAACTAAGAGCTAGTAGGAAAGATCTTGATTTAAGTTTAATTTCAATTCGTCATGCTGTTGTGCAAATCAACAAATATCGTGTGGTTATGTTGCTTTTAAAAATTAATTCTAGTAATGACACAGATGATTCTCGAGTCGATGCGGCAGACCGTAATATTGAAGAAAATTTGTACAAACTTTAATGGTGGTTGGTTATTGGGCACATATTTAGTTCATTTGCAAAACCAATATAAAATACAATGTTGTCGATTCACGGGCAGATCCATCCTTGAACGGCTAGACGACTCTTATACAATGTCCGACAAAGAGTTCGAAGAAATTGAGTTGTTGTTAGAGTTGAGCCATTTGAAATGCTATATATCATTTCTAGACCTCAATTTCTCAATTTTTAGCTTGCCTGATACTTTAAATTTGAGCCATTATTCCTCAAATTTAAAATGGCTCAACTCTAACAACAACTCAATTTCTTCGAACTCTTTGTCGGGTATTATATAAGAGTCGTCAAGCTGTTCATGGATGGATCTGACCGTGAATCGACACCATTGCCTTTTATATTGGTTTTGCAAATGAACTAAATCTGTGCCCAATCGGTAACCATAAAAGTTCGTGCAAATTTTTCTTCAATATTACGGTCTTCCGCATCGGCTCGGGAATCATCTGTGTCATTACTAGAATTGATTTTTTTAAGATCAACATAACTACCTCCACGATATTTGCTTATTTGCACAACAGCTTGACTCATTGCAATTAAACCTAAATCAAATCTTTCCTTCTAGCTCCTTCCTGTAAATTTCTATAATCGACATTATCAACCATGTCGAGATTCTTTACGGTTAACTGTCTGTCTTCTAGCTAGCCATACATCCTATACCAATTGCCCTGTGGCTCGAGCTGAAATTCGAATAAGTATAGGTTCGACTTAATGAACCGTAGTCCAATTGTCTTTCCATTGGTATTCAAATAAAAAATCAAAGTAATTGAGACAACCTGCACTCGTCGGGCTCCGGAGAAACATCTTTTGTCTGAGGAACTTGGTGTTCAGAATCCCATCTATAAAATCGGGTAATCCATCACCATTGAGATTGTCCAAGCTCAAATTTATGCCTTCTGAGGGACTCACATTTATAGCCTCGATCTCCATTGTAGCTGCTCCCGAGCTCGGTCCTGGCCTGTTATGTCCACCCGGTCCTCCGCCGCGTCCCGCACTTCTCTTAGGGGTCATGCCGGCAGTGAGTGGGTTATAGTACGACTGAAAGTTGAAAACAGTTGAATCAATGTCCGACTCGATTCGACGCCTGTGATTGGTATGCCTATCGTCGTTAAAAATGGCTTATCCCCGTTTTCGGTCCGCTACGCACTCAAGAAAATAGAAATAAGGTTTATATTTAGCAGGCCTAAAACATACTACAATTTATATATTATTATAGATAACATAGTTTATAAATAACTTTTTATTTACTTATTCCAAAAATTCTTATATTTTATTAAAACTTCAAGCTTTCTGAAAATAATTACATTCTTATTTAATTTTTAATTGAAACATACTCACGTTCACATTGCCATAAATATTAAATTACCATAAATTAGTTCTTAATTATAAAAAAAAATTATAATTATTATATTTAATGAAAACTAATTTTTTAGTAATATTCGTAGAAATCTTAAATACTCTTTTTTTTAACATTAAAATATATTATGAGGACTGTCATGGGGAATAGGTTGTGTGACCGTATTCTGATTTTTGCTCATTCTACTGTGGTTTATGGAGCATGGGCTACTATTAAGCTTAATGTTTTGAAGGAAGGAGTGAGGTTTTTTCATGGTTTGTTCTATTCGAGGATTTGTCTGCCATCTATTCAGCCATGGAACAAAATCAGGCTGCAGAGAGTTGACAGGGGTGTTGTGGGGTCCGATGGATCTATTCAGGTTACGAGATCGGTGGTAGCTGTTCCTTCCTATGCCTCCCTCATTATTGGTGCTGAACTGTATGATTGTGAAAAAGGGGGAGAGGTTATCTGCCGAGGGAGAACTTGTTTTCATGCCAGAGCATCAGGAGAAGAAACTCAACTCATTTCGTATAATGGTGTTGAAACCCTTCAAGTTACCGTCAATTGGAAATGTGAAATTTGAAAGTTGGGATGTCAGTTTCTGGTGTGGGTTGTTGGCTGTCGGTGAACTTTAAGGTTTAAGCCTTTGACTTTTTTTTTTTTTTTTTTCACTTTTTTAATTTAAATTTATTATTCTATCGGCCAGATCAGCTATATTTGTCTTAGAATAATGGAGTTCACCACCAACATTTTTAGGTTTCTGTAACCTATGCTTGGGTGAGTTTTGCTGCTCAGTTTATCGCAATGTGGTTTACCTTCTATGTGTGTGTGTATATGTGTGTGGCTTCTTTAAGTCATACATGCTTCTGTTTTGTACATTTCTCTGTGTATATGATAAGTTCTTATGTTTTTGAACTAATGTGTCTTGGTTATGTGGCTGTTTAACCCCATGTTACATTCTGCTAAAAGTGAACTACCAACTCCGTTAGAATCTATAGATTTTATATTTCAAGCCCAGGGCTCTCTCTCTTTCGTCTAGGTTTGGTTCGTAATTTCAATTATCACTTTGAAATAATTAAAAAAATCGGTCTCTTAGCAGAGGAGATGAGAACAAGTATTCAAGAGTATTGCCAGAAGATAGAGACAAGATCCTATTGAGGAAAGGATGGTCTGTGGGAAATTACAACATAACCTAAAAGGATCTAGATTTGGAGCTGGCCTTGCAACATTAATAGCCAGATAAACAGACCTGAGAACCGGTAACTTGTTCATTAAGACCCTGAATACTTGTGTGTTTTAATCTTGCAGTATTTGAGGTACGACGGTTTAGATAGTCTGGGTAAAACATCACTTTAAGGTACGAAGATTAAACTTGGTGAAGAAAATAACTGAGTGGGTTCCAAGTACAAAATCCTTACTAGAGTAGAATCTGCTGTCGAGTTTAAGATCGTAGAGGAGGGTAGTTTGAAAAGGAGCAGCATTTTGTTAGGGGTGGGCACGGTCCGGGACGGTCCGGGATTGGACCTGTCCCGGTTTTTTGAACCGGTCCGAGACCGGTCCGGGACGACACCTCGTCCCAAACAGAACGGTATCAACCGGGACCGGGACAAAACGGTTCGGGACCGGGACAAAACGGGAAAAAACATGTTCAAAAATCAAACTTCAAACTAAACTATTCCGGGAATAGTTTAGTTTGAAAGGAAAAAATAAATAAAAATAAAAGCAGAGAAGAGTGAAAGGAAAAAAAATAAAGAAAAACCTGTTAAGATTTCATTAATAAATATAAATTAATGTATAATGTATATATATATATATAATATTTTTGTACAAAAAAAATACAACGGGACAAACGGGACGGTTCGGGAAAAAAATATTAAAAACCGATACCGACATTGTTTCAACCGGTTCGGGACCCGGATCGGGACGAAAATTTTAAAAACTGATTACAACCCTATTTTTTCGGAACGGGACCATTCCGGTCCGGTTCGGGATCGGGAAATCCGGTTTTTTTGTCCACCCCTACATTTTGTGTTTTAAAATTCCATCTAAAATCCCAATGGAAAGCTCATTCCAATGGAATATATTCATTGGATCCGCTCGAATTTTCATTAGAAAATATTACGTAGGATTTTCTGTTGGAATATAACATTTTTTTTTTTGTAGTGTCAACAAAATAGTTTAGGTTGAATAGGGGCAGCGGTGCGGTACGATATAAAACAAAACCAAAATTGAACCAAATTTTTTTCCACACTTAAAGTAATTTAATTGAATCATTGAAAGATATAGCTCGAGTTTTTAGCCTTTGTATGCATTTGGGTTTGGTTCAAGCAAATCCATATAAAATTGGAAAAAAAAAATCTAAAACCATTTTTCTTAAAGAAAAAATAACCGCAAAATAAAATATTAAGTCGAGAATTTTCTGCACTAATAGGTAATTTTTTGTTTCTATTTTCTTTTGGTAAATATATATTTTTTTGTATTTCCTTTCGGTAAATTTTTTTATCATCAGTGGTAGTGATACTATTATTTTTATTTTAGGTAATGTGATACCAATAAATTTATGTAAAATTATTGATTAAACTTTTAAAAAAAATTAATCAGTTATTTTATTTCTATCTAATCTATTTTTATTGTAATCTTTAATAATGTGATATCAATAATTTGATATTAAATTTTTCAAAAAAATACATTCAATTATTCAATTTTTACTTTATCTAAAATTTTCATAAATATGACTTTTCCTATTTAGTTTATGAATATCTTCCGGTCGTCTTCTCCAGCCAGCACTTCATCTTCTTCGTCTCTTTCGGTCAACATTAGCAGCATCTGTCTTTGGAGCACCCATGTCCGCCCAGCACTTGGAGCCACGAATAGTCGTGCCCGACTCCAACGGTGATGGAGAGTTCGTGGCGATCACCGGCGATGATCTCGGCAGAGGAGAAGAGGAATTTTGTCCTTGATAATTGGGGGTTTCGAGTGCTTAGCGAAGCTTTCATGATGTGGTAGATTTATATGAAAGTTAACATAAAATGAAATGTACCAAAAAAGTTTTAATGGAATTTCCTCTAAATGTTTGAATTTAAACTTTTTTCCAAAAAAAATATTTAGGTGGTATATTCCCAATATTTTCGAAAAAAACAGTAAAAATAAATATTATGTTTAGTAATTTTTTAGGCGAAAATCATAATTATTTTTTAGTCACTATTTCAGGATTTTTTTTAAATTGTCTCTTTATATAATAATAGATATAGATAATAGATGGTAGCATATCATTTGTTAAAGAACTTCCATAATACCCATAAAATATCTTTGATTAGGATCTATAATATAATTATTTATGAGTACGAAGGCATTGAAAATTGAGTATAATTAATCTATTAATTATTTTATTAAATATTTAATTTATCTTAAAAATACATTTGAAAATAATTAGTGAAAATAAAAATTTGCCTTTCGAAATGGAGCAACCAAAATCTGAAAAACTGAAATATTCACTTCATAAATCGAACAAAAAATTGAAACACAGAACACAAGATCCTTTTGTATACCGAGAAAGAAAAGGTGAAACTTCAAAAATAAGTGTGGCAATAAAAAAAAAGGTAAAAGAAAAAGTATCTATACATATATAATAAGAATTACCATTTAACAAAAATAGTAGCAAAAAAATAGGAGAGAATTTAATGCAACCTATAAATAGTAAGTGTTATTATTTTTTTATTTTTATCTTTAGAAAATCATACAATATTTAATGTTGCATTAAATTTTTTGTTTTAATTCATTTTATTATTTAAAAATTCTAGCTAAGATCTATTAAGTGTGCATTTTTCATTTTTATTTTATTTTTTCATAAAAACAACGAAGAACATTAAAATCTCAGTCTCTATATTTATAAAATTTTAATTCAAAAGGTAATAAAAATTTTAGAATATCGGTCTTTATATTTATGCCTTTCAAAAAAAATATTGAATGCTATTCGTTAAATATTATTTTCCACTAATCCTCGCAATTTTTTTTTTATTTGGAACGTGTGATAATAAACTTGGTAATGTTTATCACTTCTTTTTTTACAAATCTATTGTTTTTTCTATACTCAGTTTCAAAAGGTAAAATAATTATCAAATTATCAGTCTCAATAATTGTGCATTTAAAAAAATATTTAATGATAATATATTATTAGTTAATAGTACACAATTTTGAAAACTCTATTATAAATTGTATGTTGATATCCAAATCATTTTATAAATGCAATCGACTTTGTTAAATCTCCACGAAAATATGGTAAAACAAAATGAGACGATCAACTTTGTATAGAAATAAAATAAAATCAATAAATCAATATGAAGTTCACAAGAAATTAACATAATGAATAATTTGTAATACTCACGTGGATTCTAAAATTCAAACTTATACTTACCATCATCTTCTAGAAATTGAATAATATATTTTCGGCAAGATTTTTTTAAATAATTTTAGACATGTTTTATTTATAAATAGTTTAGAAAGATTTTAGGTGACTTCACATCTTCAATAATGATATATATAATTTTAGATACTTTACATATGTAATATAATATTTTAGGTGTTTTTAATATTTTAAACATACATTTTTTATGTTATTTTATACAAGATAATTTTATATTGTTTACAACTGATATACGATATATTATGTCACATATTATGTCACAATTAGTAGTTTAGCTTTTTATCTCCTGTGTATTTTTAGGCTTGGGTTGTTTTGTTGTTTGTCTCTGTTTTGTTTCGCTGTTGTTTGTGTTGATTAGGTCGTATTCTTGGTTTGGGTCGTTGGCCCCTGTGTGCCTGAGTGTCATTTTCATTACTCTGTTGGAGTCCGACACTCGGGAATGGCCCTGATGAGGCCTTTGTGTTGTTAGTTGGTGTTTTTTTTAGTGTTCTTGAGTTTACCCCGTTGGGGTCGGTTCTAGGCAGGCATTTGTCCTGACCTCCCAGTTTTTAGCTATTGGCTGCTTGTACTCAGCTGTTGGCTGGTTGTGATCAGCTTTTGGCTGCTTTCTGCACCTTTGTGCGTTATCTATAATATCTCTGTCGTTTCGTAAAAAAAAAAAAAAATATTGTTCACCTTCATATTTAATTTATAATTATTAATTAATATTGTTTACTGTCATCGTTAATTTATAATTATTATTTAATATTATTTACCCGTGCATCGCACGGGCTACACACTAGTAGTTAGTAAGCAATTATGAAAATGTTTAATTTTTGTATGTTTGGTCTAAATTTATCTTACGTGAATTGAGATTTTTTTTTTTTCAATTTTATTTTGTTGATGTACGAAATTTGATCAACATGGGGATTCGTGGGAATTTTTATATATTGATTTGTTGTATATGTTTGGTGAATTTATGTGTAATTGGATAAAGAAAAATGGAAGAAGATGAGGGAGGATGAATATGTCTTCCTCTGTACCCCTCTCATCGATTAGATAAGGAGAAAACTAAAATTCCCCTCAAACTTATTTTTGGGCTCTAAAATAAAATAATTAATTTAATATATATTCATGTGTCATATTTTAATAAGTGAGGCTAAAATTGTGTATCAACATATCTCATTTTATTTTTTTTCCATAATCCAACTAACACAATTTAAAAAAAAAAATACATTACACATTTTTGAACAATAAATACTTTGACTCATATATTTATAACTATCAATCAATATAATTATAATTTTTTTATTATATTAAAAGTTATTATTACTTTTGTCTAATTTACATTCACAAAATCACATTTATTTTACTTTTCTTTTATCTAAATTAACTTATTATTTCTTTTTCACGTACATAGAACAAAATCCAACTTTAAACCAACTAAAAGAAATTAAAAAGACGAAAAACCAATCAGAAATTAGAATATTAGAGCAATCTCAAACTCAAGCCCTAATTTCAAACGAAAAGATGTCAGGGGAAGGGCCTTCGGAGAAAAAGAGGCTCTCAGAAACTGAGGATAAACTCCAATCACCCGAGGAAGAATCCAAGCGGTCGAAGCTGCCGGACGACGACGAGCGTGACGATTGCATTTTCTACGAAGATGACACAGACACCGACTTAGATGAGTCTTTTGAGGAAGGTCCCGCCGAATGTGGCCATAAGGATACGTACGTGGCTCCGATGGTCGATGAGGAAAAGCAAGACGGTAAAAGAAGGTGCCTTCAAGTTGATTTATGCAACATATTTCAGCACGAAGCTGCTTTTAAGGGATTACCCCTCTTTGAGTTGTTCAAAGTGAAGCTGAAATTCAACGACAAACGCCGGGTTGCTAACGAGCCCTTCAAGGATGCTCGGGTTTGCGGCGAGATTGTGAATTTCGTACAGGCTCATTCCACGATAGCCATACCCGATTATCATTTGGATCTGGATAATCCAATTCCCATCTCTTACTACTCTGTAAGCCCTAGCGAACCTGATTTTGTCAATCTTGATTCTGATAACAAGTACACCCTTCTTCCATTATCCGGGCCTAATCCCAGACCCCCCCTCCAGAAAAACTACTCCCTAATGATTGATTTCGCCCTCAAGATTAACGATGAGATTATGATGAAAGATGGTGAAGAACATAGAAATCCTCAACTCTTTGGAAATAATGAGTCGGTTAACGCGGGTTTACTGGTTCAATCCATCAATAGGAAATTACATGTTCGTGGTAAGGGCCCAGTTATTGTAAGGGATGTTATGGGAAATAGGCTGAATGGTCGTATTCTAATTGCTACACATTGTGCTGTGTACGAAGGAGCGTGGGCTAATATTAAGCTTAAAGTTTTGAAGGAAGGAGTGAGGTTTTTTCATGGTTTTGTCATGGCCAGACCTTGTGTGTTCTATTCCAGGATTTGTCTGCTGTCCATTCAGCCGGAAAATAAGATCAGGCTGCAGAGAGTTGAGAGGGGTTTTGTGGGGCCCAATGGATCTATTGAGCTTACGAGGTCTGTGGTAGTTGTTCCATCTTATGCTTCTCTCATTATTGGTGCTGCACTGTATGATTGTGAAAAAGGTGGAGAGGTTATCTGTCGAGGGAGAACTTGTTTTTATGCCAGAGCATTTGGAGAAGAAACCCAGCTCATTTCCTATAATGGCGTTGAAACCCTTCAAGTTACCGTCAACTGGAAATGTGAAATTTGAAAGATGGGATATTAGTCTCTGGTAGACTTATTGTTTAACTTGATATTATTAGAAATGTCCAAAAAATATCATATTCGTAAAGCAAAAACATAGGTGAAAAATAGACCAGATTGGTCGATTGAAATTGAAGTTGTATAGTCAGAGGCAGTGATTAAAATAGCGCGTGGCGAGCCGAGGCGACAAGGCTCGGATTTGCCATGGCGTGAGGCGTGCGGCGAGGCGCCCGCCTTATGAAAGCGAGGCGAGCCATTATACAAAAAATAAAAATATATGTACATGTGACATTTTACCAAATTATAACAGGTAGCTTCGGGTGGGGGGTATATAAAAATAAATTATAATAGCTAATAAACAATCAATAAAACACCACACATTAAAATAAAAACAACATCAAATAAACTACAAATAGAGATATCATAAACCCACATGATCCCAATTAAAATAAACATCAACCCACCCCACAATCCCATATTGTGCCAAATTCCCAAATAAAATAATCATATAATGTCTGTTGTTCATTAAAAACCAAGTTAATGCTCCACATTCATAAATAAACAAAATAAATAATAAAAATAGAAAATAAAAAAACATGTTAAGCCCAACCCCCTGTTCGCTTTTCATCCTCTTTTCATCCTGGCCGGCCGGCTGCTATCAACACCGCCGGCCACCGGCGACGGAAGTTTAGCCGGAATCGGCGACTTACACAACAGGCACTATCGCTGGTGAAAAATAACTGAAGCAAGAAAGGAAAAAAGAAAAAGAAGAAGAAAAGGAAAATCTGGAACGCATACCGCTCGCCGTCGCCGTCACCGGTTAGCTGCCGGAATATGGTCGCCGTCGCCGGTGGAACAGAAGGCACATGGTTATTTTGTAGTTTGGTAAGTAATTTTTGTTAATTGATAAGTTTTAATCTAGGGTAAATGAAACCCTAGATTTAAAAATACCTAAATTGCCGATCCCTCCCCTCACTTTCGTAAGGCGTCGCCTCGTGCTACGCAACGCTACATCCGAGGCGACGCCATGGCGTCGCCTTTCACAAGGCCGCCTCGCCTCAAGGGTATGAGGCGTCGAAGCCCCGCCTCGCCTCGCCTCGCCTCGCGCCATGGCGTCGCCATGGCGCGCTATTTTAATCACTGGTCAGAGGTGTATGGCCCATGACTCACAGGCGTAGCCTTTTTTCATCAACAAAGAGTTATGTTTTGAAGTCTTGTTTCATCCATTCTTTCTTTTTCGATTTCTTCTACCACTTCAAAATTTGACAATGCATACCAGCCCTGGTACATTCATAAGTAACCGTCTTACAACAATAGCCCTTTTATTTGTTGTGTTCAGTGTTCATATTCGGGGTTCTTTGGTTAACTCTACTGTCAAAACTAGCATCCAAATTCAGTGGACTCTTCCTCCTGAGAACGAGAGAGAAAGTAGATTAAAATGCGTTAACATGTCAGACTAAGGTTTTGAAGAGAACTCGTGGAGGAAGTTGTTAGACTCCGAGTCATATTGACAAGAGTGGAAGCAACGACGACTCTTTTCAAAACGGGCCTTCGGTTTCGGCTTGCTTCGCGTATATCAAACACAAGTTCTCTACATGTACTTATTTTTTGAGCGAATTCGGACTCGCAATATTATTTTATCTCTATCTTATCTATTTTTATTTTATTTTTAGCGATGTAAAATCAACAATTTTATTATATCAATAGTTAATTATTTCGTTTATCTAATTTTACATTCACAAACTCACATTTCTTTTAATTTTTTATATCTAAATTTTAACTTATTTTCTTATTCATTTTTTCTTTGACATAAAAAGAACAAAATCCAACGTTAAACCAGCTAAAAGAAATTGAAAAGACGAAAAACCATACCAATCAGATATTAGAAAATAAGAACCCTTACCACTTATCGAAAATAAAAAAGGAATATATAATTCTGAAATCCCCAATCTCAAACTTGAACCCTAATTTCAAACGAAGAGATGTCAGGGGAAGAGCCATCGGAGAAAAAGAGGCTCTCAGAAACTGTGGATGAACTTCCATCACCTGAGGAAGAAGAAGAACCCAAGCGGTCGAAGTTGCCGGACGACGACGAGCGTGACGATAGCATTTTCTTCGAAGATGACACAGACTCCGACTTGGAAAACGATTTTGACGAAGGACTCGTCGAACAGGGCCATAGGGATACGTACGTAGCTCCAATGGTCGACGAGGAAAAGGTAGATGGTAGAAGAAGGTGCCTTCAAGGTGATTTATGCAACATATTTCAGCACGAAGCTGCTTTTAAGGGATTACCCCTCTTTGAGTTGTTCAAAGTTAGGCTGAAGTTCAACGACAAACGCTGGGATTCTAATGAGCCCATCAAGGATGGTCGACTTTGCGGCGAGATTGTGAATTTCGTACAGGCTCATTCCACAATACCCATACCCGATTATAATTTGGATCTGGATAATCCCATTCCCATCTCTTACTACTCTGTAAGCCATAGTGAACCCGATTTTGTGAATCTTGACTATGATAACAAGTACACCCTTCTCCCCTTAGCCGGGCCTAACCCCAGACCCCTTATCCATTCAAACCACACCCTATCTATTGATTTTGCTCTCAAGATTGACGATGAGATTGTGATGAATGATGGTGCAGAACATCGTAACCCTCAGCTCTTTGGAAATAACAAGTCTGTTAAAGCGGGCGTACTGATTCAATCAGTCAATGTGGTATTAAATGATCGTGGTAAGGGCCCTTTTATTATAAGGGATGTCATGGGGAATACGGCGTATGATCGTATTCTAGTTTCTTCACATTCTACTGTGTATGATGGAGCGTGGGCTACTATTAAGCTTAGAGTTTTGAAGGAAGGAGTGAGATTTTTTCATGGTTTTATCATGGCTAGGCCGTGTGTATTCTATTCGAGGATTTGTCTGCTGTCCATTCAGCCAGGGAATAAAATCAGGCTGCAGAGAGGTGAGAAGGGTGTTGTGGGGCCCGATGGATCTATTGAGCTTACGAGATCTGTGGTAGTTGTTCCATCTTATGCCTCTCTCATTATTGGTGCTGCACTGTATGATTGTGAAAGAGGTGGTGAGGTTATCTGTCGAGGTAGAACTTGTTTTTATGCCAGAGCGTCAGGAGAAGAAACCCAGCTCATTTCCTATAATGGCGTTGAAACCCTTCAAGTTACCGTTAATTGGAAATGTGAAATTTGAAAGTTGGGAGTTAGTTTCTGGTGGACTAATTGTTTTACTTGTGGTAGCTGGCTGTTGTTAAGGTTAAAGCTTGGCTATATTCTGTTAATTTATCTGTTTTTTCAATCGGCAAGATCAACTATATTTGTCTTAGAATAATGGAACTTACCATCAGATCATTTGTAGGATCGTGGTATATTTTTGGTGTGTGTGTGTGTGTGTGTATGTGGTGTTTTTAAGTGATTCTTTTTTAGTTATGCATTGCATGCTCCCATTTTGGCTGTCGGCGAACTTAAGATTCAAGATTGTTGTGCCTGCATCATCAAATATATATAATAAGAGAACCCCCCATTTCATTTTTACTATTTCATAAGGATTGAAAGCTACTGTGTGTGTGTGTGTGTGTATATCCGTGTGTGTTGGTGTGTGTACTGTGTGTGTGTATCCGTGTGTGTGGGTGTGTGTACCACTGTACTGTGTGTGTCGTGTGTGTTGGTGTGTGTATAGTGTGTGTGTGTTTTGGGATGAGAGAGTGCATTGGGACGGGTGTGTGTAAGTGTGCAGGGTGTGTGTTGTGTGTGAAAGAGAATGGGTGGGTGGTGAGTTGGTAGGTTAGGAATTAACATGGGCTGATTGGTAATAAAATTACCACATAATGTGTTTAAACTCTAAGGCTATTTTTAGCGGTTATATTATCTGATCCAATAGCTGAAATTTATTCTTATTTCTTTTATCAAGCATCTTTCTTATTTGAACTCAATCTTATATATATATAATATTGTTCTAAAACAAAATGGCTTGAATGCAATTTCAAAAAGTTCAATCGCATAAGTTGCGATCAAATGCAAATTCGCGTCTGAAGAGATGAGAGATAGAAATGTAATTTTAAAAAATTCAATCGCATAAGTTGCGATCAAATGCAAATTCGCGTCTGAAGAGATGAGAGATAGCATCAAAACTCATTTTGCAGTTGAGTTTTTAGCGGTTGGAGTGAAGCAAATTGCAAAAGTTTTGGGTTTTGCAGTTCGGTTGGAGTGGGTCTTAGATCCTCCCCAACCAAAAACTCATTTTCAAACTCATTTTGCAGTAATGTCACATTAAACAATAATTCTTTTCTGACCGAAAAAATAATTCTCAAGCCCAAAAGTATATTGACAAAATATTCTCTTTTTACAACTTTTCAATATTATTCACATATTTTACAACTTTATAAATTAGACCACGCTACTATTGCATGTTTGATAA